TCATTTGTCTCAGGTAGTACTGCCAAACCACATGCAAAATCTGAATGCCAACAGTTGTCATCAGACAACAGTTCTATAGTAATTAATGAAAAAAGTAGAAAAAGAAAATGCCGCTCAAGGGTAAATGACAGAACTAAGACACAAACACATAGAGAAGCCATGAAAAAGTATACAAATAAAAATCCTGAAGTTCATAGGAAGGCTGTTAAAAGATATAACAACGAAAATCCTGATGTACATAGAGCTTCTGTTTCTAGGTATTCAAAAAACAATCCTAAGATCAATCGGGATGCTGTACAAATGTACAATAAAAAAAGACCGATGATTCCATGGAAATCAAAGTGTATATCAGGTTTTAAATACAGCAGCACAATAGACTACTGTAATGACAAAGTTGTTTCTATAGGACAGCCAACAGAATGCAAGTGGTGTCATGCAAAGAAATGGAAGGAAGAAAGCCCCGGTATTTGTTGTAGTAATGGTAAAGTTGTTCTTTCTCCAATTGAAGCACTTCCTGAACCACTACACAGCCTACTTTTAAATAATCATCCTGAATCTCAACATTTTTTAACGAACATTAGAAAATACAATGGCTGTTTCCAAATGACGTCGTTTGGGGCTAAAACAGTAAATGTAGGTGGCTTTATGTCAACCTTCAAAATTCAAGGCCAAGTTTACCATAGAATAGGAAGTGTTTTACCTTCGTATACAAACGAACCATCATTTTTACAAATATATTTTGTTGGTAATGATGAAAAAGAAGCGGAACTTCGGTCTAATCTTTTTCCTGCCGTAAAGCCTAGATTGGTTGGCCAACTTCAAAAAATGCTGCACAACCACAACCAGTACGTACGAGATTTTAAAACAGCTATTGAATGTGTTCCTTAAGGACAGGAATTTAAAGTTGTGATTCATGCCGATAGAAAACTTGTAAATAAACACAGGGGTCGGTATAATGCACCGTCAACAAGCGAGGTTACTTTAGTTATTGTGGGATAGGATTTTGAAAAAAGAGATATAATTCTTCAAAGTAGAGACACCAAGTTAGTGAGAATAAATGAAACTCATCGTGCTTACGACGCTCTTCAGTACCCTCTTATGTTCTGTCGTGGTCAAGATGGGTATTCCATCAAACTACCTCAGAGTGACCCAAGTTCTAAGATGTCTCTTAAAAAAACAATTTCTGCTTCCGAACTGTACTTTTATCGAATTATGGAAAGACAAGGGCAAAATAACTACATGTTACTATACCGTAGTTTTCTCAATCAGTTTTTGGTTGATATGCACGCTGAGATAGAAACAGAAAGGCTTAATTTCATTAGACACAACCAAAGTAAACTGAGAGCTGAAAATTATGTGCATCTCAAAGACGCAATGTGTAAAGGAGATGGACAAGTTTCAGAGATTGGCAAGATAGTTGTATTACTTTCCAGTTTCACAGGAAGACCCCGTTATATGCACGAGAGGACTCAGGACGCCATGACATACGTTCGCCACTATGGCCGTCCTGATTTGTTCATTACGTTCACATGTAATACTAAGTGGATTGAAATTGAATCTTCCTTACACGATGGACAAAAACCTCAAGATAGGCATAACATAATAGCTAGGGTTTTTCACTTAAGTTTTCACTTAAGAAAGTTAAAAAAATCATTCATCTCCTAACTAAAGGTTCTATTTTCGGTCCCTGTAGGTGTTACATGTTCACAGTAGAATGACAGAAACGGGGTCTGCCACATGTGCATATACTTCTATGGCTACATGATGGAATTATGCCTGCTAACATTGACAGTGTTATAAGCGCAGAAATTCCTGATCCCGAACTTGACCCTCTCCTTTATGATATTGTAAAATCTACTATGATTCACGGTCCATGTGGTCATTTGAATAGAAAATCACCGTGCATGCTCAATGGTTCATGTAGCAAGAGATATCCACGTCCATTTTCCAAGGATACGCACACTGCAGATAAGGGATATCCCCAGTATCGAAGGCGGGCTCCATCTGATGGCGGTTTTTCGCTTGAAATTAATGGAGTAAAAATTGATAACCAGTGGGTGGTGCCGTATAATCCTGTTTTGTACCCGTATATTTATGGCTCAAATTAACGTTGAACTGTGCAACTCTTTGAAGTCCATAAAGTAAATATGCAAGTACGTAAATAAAGGAAGTGACCAAGCAGCGTTTTGTTTTGAAAACGAGCAGGATGAAATATCCAAGTATGAAGCAGGGCGCTATATTAGCAGTTCTGAAGCTGCTTAGAGAATCTTACGTATTGCCATCCATGAAAGATTCTCTCCTGTTATGCATCTTTCTGTTCATCTTGAGAATGGTCAACGAATTTACTTCACAACTGATAATGCCTCAGAAAAAGTTCAGAACCCTAATAGTACTACACTTTTAGTATTCTTTGAGCTATGTAAAAATGATTCTTTTGCAAGAACGCTTTTGTATAGTGAAGTTCCAGCTTATTTTATTTTGAAAAATAACAAGTTTAGTCGAAGAGAGCAAGGAAAGGGTGTCTCAGGTCATCCAGGAGTCAAACAAGATCATGTGATTGCTAGAGTTTATACTGTACACCCTAACAATGTCGAATGCTATTACTTGCGACTATTACTTCATGAAGTACATGGACCGACTTGCTTTAATGATCTCAAAATAGTGTCTGGAGTAGTTCATCCATCTTATCAATCTGCCTGCCAAGCTCTTGGGTTGTTGGAAGATGACACTCATTGGGACCGAACTCTAGAAGAAGCCACTATTTTTGATTCTCCACAAAAAATCCGTCAACTATTTGCTGTTTTGTTAGTGTTTTGTTAGTTAGCTGACCCGTTAAAACTTTGGGAAAAACATAAAGATAGTATGTCAGAAGATGTGAAAAGACAACTGGTAATTGATTACCAAGAGATTGATATTGAAACCATTGTAGACGTTGTTTACAACAAATGCTTAGTGCTGCTAGAACAGATCGTCTTTTCGATGGGTAACCATTCACTTCATCAATTTGGATTTCCTTCACCATCTCACGATGCGAGTGAATTAATTGTCAATCGTGATTATCTGAGAGAACTGTCTTATGACGTAGAACAGGTTTCTAAATTAGTTTAACACAACATAACAAAGCTTAATCCTGAACAAAGTCAAGTTTACTACGAAGTTATAAGAAACGTTGATTCAGATTCTGGACGTATTTTTTTCTCAGATGCTCCTGGTGGAACAGGAAAAACGTTTTTAATGAATCTGTTGCTAGCTAGCGTAAGTATGCATAAAAATATAGCGATTTCTGTCGCTTCCTCTGGAATAGCAACTACTTTGTTGGATGGTGGAAAGACCGCTCACTCTGCTTTTAAACTTCCTATCAACTTAAATTTTTCTGAAACTTCTTTATGCAACATTTCAAAGCAAAGTGATGCAGCACATGTACTAAGAGAATGCAAGTTAATTGTTTGGGATGAAGCTACAATGGCTCACAAGGGAGGAGTAGAAGCATTGGATAGAACTCTCCAGGACATCAGGAGTAGTAATCACCTAATGGGTGGGATGACCGTCTTACTGGCTGGGGACTTCAGGCAAACTACCTGTTGTTCCTCGAGGAACTCATGCTGATGAGGTAAGGGCCTGCCTTAAATCATCCTACCTATGGCCTAAGATCGAAGTCAAATCCTTACGAGTCAACATGAGAGTGTACCTTAAAGGTAATCCTGAGGCAGAGGATTTTTCCAATTTACTCCTTCAAGTAGAAAATGCAGATTTACATGAAGATGATGATAGGAAAGTGAACATTCCAAACAATTTGTGTACAGTCGTCAAGGATCTAAAAAGTTTGAGTGAGCAAATATATCCGAATTTAAATAATTTACATTCAGAAAACCTGACTTGGCTTAACGAAAGAGCCATTCTTACACCAAAGAATGACACTGCAGCATCAACGATTCCTTATTGAACCAGATTCCTACTGATATGGTGAAATATCCATCTGTGGACTCTGTTGTGGAGTTAGAAGATGTAGTTAATTATCCTGTAGAGTTCCTCACACTTTAAATCCACCAGGAATTCCACCTCACAACCTATGTTTGAAAATTGGAGCTCCAATAATGCTATTGCGTAACCTTATACCTCCAAAACTTTGTAATGGCACACGACTTAAGGTTAAGACCTTACATAAAAATGTAATTGAAGCAACTATCTTTACAGGCTGCGGTATGGGAGAAACAGTTTTTCTACCAAGAATACCTTTATTCGCTCTCCAGGAAAAAAGAATAGATATAGTAATTATTTCTGAAACCCATTTTACTAATACATCCTATGTTAACTTTCCTGGCTACCGTACAAATCATCCAGACAACTCTGCCCATGCTGGTGCAGTTATATTTATTAAGGCTTCACTCGCATATACTCCATTACCTAACTTCCATACAAATCACATCCAATCGTGTGCAGTTTCATTATTGCTAAAAAATGTACCTATTACCATAGCAGTGGTGTATTGCCCTCCCAAACACAATATCTCTACGGATCAATTTACCGAATTTCTTTCCACCTTAAATAATAATTATATAGTTGGTGGTGACCTTAATGCTAAGCATATCCAGTGGGGCTGCCGAGCCTCAAACCCTAGAGGTAACTCTCTCCTTCAAACTGCCTGCCACTCTAATATCTCAATTCTTGCCCCTCCTAATAATACCTATTGGCCAGCATCTCGTCATAAAATGCCTGATATTTTACATATTTTTGTCACCAAAATTCCAAATACCCTGATATAAATACCATATAAATACCATCTGATAAATACCATACACAAACTCAAAACTTGTTAGACCCATGTTCAGAACACTCACCTGTCTTGCTTTCAGTAGATTGCCAACCTCCTGATAAACCCAATTCATTAATACTATCTCAATATCGAACAGATTGGGAAAAATTTGGCCACACCTTATCTGAGAGAACTGATTTAAAACTTTGTCTAAAATCAGCCTCCGACATCGATGATGCTGTTAACTTACTCACGAATAACATTCAATCGGCTGTCTGGGAATCAGCGATTCAACCCCCTCCAAGAAAGGCCGATTTTAACCTCCCTATACACATCAGGAACCTCATATCACTTAAGCGTCGTGCACAAGCAATTTGGCAACATTCCAGATATTCATCTGATAAGCGTTACTACAACGCTCTTACACTTAAACTCAAACGCCTCCTTGCTAGTCATAGATCTGAAACTTATGCAAACTACGCATCTTCACTTTCACATAATGATGGTTCGCTCTGGAAGGCCTCTAGGATACATTTACGTATTCATAATCTTCCTCCTACATTACGTAACGATGATGGTACTTGGGCGGTCTCTGACCAAGATAAATCAAACATATTTATGAAACACTTAGAAAATAACTTCCAACCGCATTATAATATTCTATCACCCAGTAAAATCCAAGAAGTTGAAAGCTTTTTCAACTTTCCACTACAGATGTGCCCCCCTCCTCGAGCCTTCTTCCCTGGTGAAGTTCACTTTAATATTAAAAAGCTCCTTAGAAAAAAGTCCCCTGGATTTGATCTAATAACTGCAGAAGTAATCAGAAATCTACCTAAAAAAACTATCTTATTTCTAACACAAATCTACAATGCAATGCTCAGATTATCTTATTTCCCTCTTCTCTGGAAATATTCTATTATAATTCTCATATTAAAACCCGAAAAACCCCCGGACTCCCCGACCTCGTATAGGCCAATTAGTCTTCTCCCTTTACTCTCAAAATTATTTGAAAAACTGCTATTAAAACGTATTATACACGGCAACAATTCTACCTAACTCTCAATTTGGCTTTCACAATAGCCACTTCTCCATTCACCAAGTCCACAGATTGATAGACAAAATTTCCTATGCTCTGGAGGAAAAACTCTATTGCACCGGTGCGTTTCTAGATGTCTCTCAGGCCTTTGACCGCATTTGGCATGCTGGTATTTTATATAAACTTAAGATTCTTTTCCCTAGTCACTACTATCTAATCCTTAAATCCTATTTAGAAGACCGGCTCTTCTCAGTGCGAGTAGGGTTCACCTTTTCTCCACCTATTTTAATTAATGCAGGCGTACCAGTGGTAACACTACCCTAACTTGATGGTTTTTTTTCCCTTATTTATATTGCTTAATTTTATCAAACAGTGAGAAGGTCTCGACACCATTTCCTTTTGAGCCTTCTGGGAGGATTCCCAGGAATAGTGAGAGTGGCAAGGTTCAAAATGAGAGGGTTGGAATGAGAAGGGAGTTTAGAGTGGAATCGTTTGTAAAAGGCTACTGCTACTATTGATTTCATTTTTAGATCGGTGTGTAAAGTTAGATTTGAGATGTAAGGGGGAGAATTAGTAATTAAGCGAAGGAATTTATTTTGGAAAGTTTGAATTTTATTAGTGTTGGATATTTTGGCATTGCCCCAGAGTTGAAGACCATAGGTCCACATCGGCTTGAACAGGGATTTGTAAATTAAGAGTTTAGTATTTAATGGAGTGTGTTTGTTGTTAGAGATTAGGGTTTTAAGGATGCGGAGTCGTGCATTTAAGGCAAGCCTTTTAGTTTTTATGTGATGTGACCAAGTGAGACGACGATCAATTGTCAGACCTAAGTATTTGGCCGTTTGAGAGGAAGGGATTTGAGATACCATAGGACAGGGAGTACGACGAAGAGTAAATGTTGTATGGAGTGATTTGGATTGATTAACTTTGATACGCCATTTTTTATACCAATCAGCCATGAGGTCAAGGTGGAGTTGAAGATTGTGGGAAGCTGTGTGAGGATTATCATGGATAGAAATAATGGCCTTGTCATCGGCAAACTCCGCAACAGCTGTATTCGGAGAGGTGGGTTGATCGGCAGCGTAGATGTTATATAATAGAGGAGAAAGAATGCCCCCCTGAGGAATGCCTGCGTTAATCTTTGCTAAACCAGAAAGGGATGTGCCAACTCTGACCTGAAAATATCGATCCGCGAGGTAAGATTTGATTAGTAAGTAAAAGGAAGGATGAACTATGAGTTTAATTTTATATAGCAGACCTTCATGCTTGGTCGAATGCTTGGGAAATGTCTAAGAAAACGCAGGAGCAATAACTTTTTTTTTCATGGGAGAAGGAAATAGCATCGACTAGTCTGTGCAGCTGATGTATTGAGGAATAAGCGGTACGAAAACCAAATTGTGTATTAGGTAATATGGAACTGGAAGAGATGCATGGAAGAATTCTTTTAAGAATTAATCTTTCGAGAATTTTGCTGAAGTAGGGAAGGAGACTTATAGGTCGGTAGGAGGAGGACAAGTCGGGAAGCTTGTTAGGCTTTGGAACTAGAATCGTTACAGAAAATTTCCAAAGCATAGGAAAATAAGATAACCTTAGACACGCATTATATATAACTGTGAGAAGTACAATGGCTCTTTTGGGGAGGGATCTGGCCACTTCTGCAGTAATCAGATCGAACCCCGGAGATTTTTTGAGACTGTATTTTTGAATTGTAAATTTGACTTCACCAGGAGTGAAATGCTTAACTGCGGGAAAAGTAGAAAGGGGGGAAACGAGTGAGCGATTTACTATGTCAGTATGAGAAGGTATTTGTATATCCGAGTGAGGCATGAAGGTTTCAGTTAGATGTTCTTTAAACAGCTCAGCTTTTTCGCCATCGGTAGTTGCAAGTTCACCATGAGGATTTATTATGGGAACGAGCGGAAGTTTGTATTTTAGAAGAATTTTGGTAGTTGACCAGAGATTGCCATTTTTAGGTGACAAGTTTGAGAGATGATTTTCAAAAGATTGATTTTTATTCTTGATGAGTATTTTGTTCAGTGAGTTAGGTAGATTGTTATAAATAGCAAACACCCTACCTTCCGCACTCGCAACCATAACCCGGGAACGAGATGCGAATTACCTATATTCCTACGCTTATATAAGGCCCTGACTGCTTCGTTGTAAACTTATTAGAGTTTTGGTTGGACCGAAGGCCCAAGCTGCAGATTGGATTACATTTATTAGGTTATTTATCGCTACATCAATTTCTTGGGGAGATTTGAGACTAATTTTTAGATTTATGTTTTGATCGACCAAGTCGTGGAATTTATGCCTATCAGTAGTATGGAGAAAGAGTTTTGGTAGGATAGGCCGGATTGGAGGACAGGCACTGATAGTCTGATAGTCAGGAGTTCTGCTGAATGATCTGAACAGGGTTATAAGAGATTGGTAGCCACGCAGAATAAGTTGTGAGGTGTGTTCGATACAAATATGTCCAGTATGTCTGGTTTTTTCCGCAGGGAGGTGGGCCAATATGTTGGTCCAGGAGGCGCGAGAATTGAGTAGCCCTTAAGATTAATAAAGTTGTAGAGAACAGAGCCTCTTGGGTTGTTAGTACGACAGCTAGGGTCCTTGGCATTAAAGTCACCACCTATGATAAAGTTGAGACTAAAAGTGCTGAAGTAATCCATATAGTTTTGAATATTTATATTATGCCTTGGAGGAGAGTATATTGCTGCTAAGGTTGTTGGTATATTGTTGAGGTGGGTTGTTGGTATATTGTTGAGGTGTAGTAAAATAGCACAAGACTGTAGATGCGGTTGACAGCAAGACTGTAGATGCGGTTGACAGAAATTTGGAAGAAGTTGGAAAGAAAAGGAAGATTTAATATAAATTGCAGCACCACTATGAGCGGTATTATCTGGATGATTAGTTTTTAGGAGATGATAACCAGGTATGGAGATGTGGGAGTATTTTGTAAAATGCGTTTCAGAAATCAAGGCAATATCGATCCGCTTCTCCTGAAGTACTAATTGGAGTTCGTTTGAAGGATTTTTGAGACCGTTTGAGTTGAATAAAAGGATAAGAAGGGAGTTGCTTGTGAAAGGAGACATTAATTTTTTTCTAGAAGCTTTGAGATAACTTGGGTGAGAAGAGCGATTAGCGGGTTTATTAGTAATTTGAACTCGTCAAGGAACTTATTTATATCTGATACAGGAGGAGGGATTATGTTGTTTGGGTGGGTACCGGAGGTAGCTTGCGTGTAGGTTTGAGACGAGTCAGATGAATGTGCTAAGGGTGTTACCACAGGTTGACTAACCTGTACATTTTTTTTATGACTAAGATTCCCCAGCAAAGGACTGCTCATTTTTGGTTTGTTGCGAAGCTGTAGCTCCTTGTAAACTGAGCAACCTTTATAGTTTGAAGGATGATCACCGGAGCAGAGGGCGCATTTAGGAGTAGCATCCCGTGGGTTTGTACAGGCCGAAGAAGAGTGGAGAGCACCGCAGCGGACACAGCGAGCTGGATACCCGCAATATGTTTTGGTATGACAATAATCCTGGCAATTGATACACTGGCTTATTGTTTTTAATTTGTATGGTTCTTCCAATTTAATTTTGGTATGGATAAGAGATTTAAGCTTATAAATATCGTTGGACTGACTTGTTTGTTCGAGGTCCACGAAAAATAGCGGAGGAGTGTGTTAATCGATTTTGTGTAATAAGCTAGTTACTTGACGTACTTCAAATAAGCGCAACTCNGGAAATGGATCAGCGTTCTATAGGAAGCTGGGTTGGTCATCATAATTTTTAGGCGGTTAGTTGAGGATTTACAGGAGAAATTGTCTATTCTAATTAGCTCGATGAGTTCTGAGCAGAGATCGGTAAAACAGATTACACCTTTTACAAAAATTGGTGGGAGAAGAGTTGATTTGACTCCGACATTGATGTTCCCATCTGGATTTGACTCCTGAGGAAACGTTAGAGTAGGTCCAAATGAAGTCGTGGGCATTGGATCATCTTGTGAAAGCGGTTCAAAGCGGTTAGCCGTAAAAAATAATTTTTTGTTGCTTTTTGTTTTTGGCGACTTTTGTTCAGAAGAGGACGAGGAGAGGTTCCTTTTACTTGAATTTTTATTTCTTGCCGATGCCAGGGTCCAGTTCTCTGAAGAACCATCCATGGTAACTATGTTTAGGCGAGCAGGCTGTAGATGATCGCTTGTTTTGGTGACAGCTGAATTTGTGTGTTTATTTTTGGATGTAGGTTTACGCATAAGTTATAATTTCGATAAGCTGAAGACACTGCCGCCGCAGCGGCGTGCGATAAGACAGCACGCGGGTTGAAGAAGGTATAATGAATACTAGGAAAGCAACGACGAGATTATTAAGTATTTGTTAATTATAGCAACTATAATAAGTAGAGAAATTAAATAATGATTTCCATTACGTAGTCAGTTATTTAAACACCTAAGTTTTAAGTATAATTTAATTAATACATAAGACCAAGATACAGAATAAAATAACGGACACAGACGGATCGCAAGCAGTGTGCGCAACGGCTGCCGAACGCGAACTGTTATATTAATTAAAAAAAAAAAAAAACTGTATCACTACTACCGCAATCTTTGTTAAATAACTATTATGTATTTATTGTACTATCATTATTATTAATACTTTCTATGATCAAAACCCTAAAATTATATTCATGTTGAAGTACCTCCAATGGGTGGCCCTCTTCCTTTAGTCTCTTCTGTCTGTTCACTTAAGCTTATTGTTCTAATAGAAACAAATAGCGTATTGTCAAACTCAGAAAATATAGACACCGGTCATTCGGCCGATGAAGATTACTTTCCTGAGATAATAACCACTTTTTAAATTAATTATATATTAAATACATATTTTACAATTAAAATTTTGAAGTGTTAACAATTATTTTGTTTTATAAAAAATTTTATACGAAAATTAAGATATTTGAAATATTACTCAAAACATTTTATGTTAGTAAGAACCATGCATGTCCTCCTGGAGATAGACTTTTTAAAGTTCGAGGATTGGTTAATCTTTTAGTTTAAAAGTTTAAACGTGCATATATACCTGAAGAATCGTTATGCATTGATGAATTTGTTATACCATTTATTTGACGCCTTTTATTTCGACAATATTTACAAAATAAGCGACATAGGTATGGTGTTAAAATATTCAAATAATGTGTACATGATGGATTTACAGTTGACTTTCGAATATATGCAGGTAAAGAAGCTGTCCAAGGATTAGAGGTTTCTACAAAATTAGTTAAGAAGATGACATATGAATATTATAAAATTTGGTAGGACAATTTATACGGACTACTGGCATACGAGCGTTAATTTGGCCCATAAATTCTTGGAACAAAATACTCATTTAGTTGGGACACTGAGGGCCAATAGAAAAAAAAACCTAAAGGATGCAGTACAAAATAAACTGAAAAAAGGACCAGTTAAAGTACAACAGAGTGACCGAAGTATAGTTGTTCTAAAGTGGAAAGATAAAATAGATGTCCTTATGCTTTCTACTAAACATTCCAACACTATAATTGAAATTAGAAATAAACGTGGTCAAACTTAAAAAAATCAGAAATTGTTATGGACTATAACAAAAGAAAAGCTTTGGTTGATATATGTGATCAGAGGTCCTCACACCACAGTACACTGAGAAAATCCATGAAATGGTATAGGAAAGTAGCAATTGAAATAATACTGAGCATTTCAGTTTTAAATGCCATGTGTTTATACAATAATGTAAATAAAACGAAATTTGTAATTACTGAATTTAAAGACATATTGGTAAAAGATATGTGTGGTGATTATGAAGAAACCGATAAAGAAGAAGTTGAACACAAACTATCTAAATCTGGAAAAAGAACTCGGTGTGTGAAATGTTATGATGAAATAGCACAAAGAAGAAGAAAATATGCTCAGTGAATAACAAACAATCACATTATTGGTGTGCAGCTTGCCAGAAAGTGTACTGCATCGAATGTTTTTTTAATGACCACAAAGTCCGGGAAAAATAAAGATGCTGTTATTTGTAAATAGTTGATTGAAAAGGATACAAAATTATGCTTTTAATTTGTTTTATAATTTGCTGTACTTATATTTTATAAGGTTTTCAATATAATAATTATATGATTATACTACAAAACAATTTTCTATTACAAAAAAAAAAATTGTCATTCAAAAGACATGTAATCCATGTACAATTGCCTAATAAAGAAATTAATTTCTTATTTTAACTTAAAATTTGTATTATTTTACTTATCTACTTGCCTATACCCATACTGTTGATTAATTTGATAGTATATTGATATTTAATTAGACTAAAATAAATGATTTTTGGGTGCATTAAATCCTTATATCATAATACATACAAAACAGTGAAAATAGCTCCCGTTTTTTATATCCTAATATTCAGCTTTTTCCCCTCTTTCCAGTGATGTATATGAATGAGAGTTAAACGCAACTCTAACAAAATAAAATAATGAAATATGTGAGAGTTAAATGCTCATAGCCCATAACAACAACCACAGTGTGTATTAAATTTAACTCTCAAAGCCAATACAGACGGTCTTTAAATTTTTTATTACATGAAACTACAAGGTAAGGGTAAAAGTTAAATAAGACACTCGAGGCAGTCAACTTGTTGAACAAATGTGTAAATCCTTCCCATATTACCTAAATAAAACAATATGATAAAATTGTGGAGTCTATGGACTTTCCTGAATGGTAATGAAACATTTGGGATGTTCTCAAAATACTTAGACCAAGTTGTAAATATTATTTAATACTAACTTAGATAAAGATTATAATTATTTTGGTATTTTAAAATGTATACATTTAAAGTCCCCCCAATAATAACTTTGGAAAAGCCATGACTAATAAAATACTTTTACATATTTTTACATACTTTTCAAAAGGCAATTGTATGATGCTTTTAATTACAATTTATGAAACTGAAGATTTTTAAAAAAAGTTGAAGAAAATATAGAACAAAAGAAAAACATATTTATCATGTGATGAAGAAGAATTAAACGAATCTTGTATGAATAATATTTTCCCCATACCACCACCAAAAATAAATCAAATGCTTCAAAGATTATGTTTTTTTTAAATAATTAAAGTTAAATGAAAGTTGATTTTGATGAGTAATTCAAATTTTTTTTTCTAGATTCTCAATTTAACTTTAAACAATCTGAAACCACTTTAAAATATATAGTTCGTTAATAAAACATATTAGTAATTATTTATTTGAAAATAAATTACTTTTTTATTACAATGTAAATTGTGATTTTTTTTATATATTTTAAAATCCGTGAAACCAAATAAAATTATAAGTAAAGAAAAATCCTCGTTTACAGAAAGCTCTAAAAACAGGGTATTTATATAATATATTACATTACCATTCCTGGTCATTCAAATAATCTGCTAATAAACAATTATGGTCATTTAAAATTGAAAAAACTTCCGTTCAAAGTTCAAGTAAGCGAGCTAACACTGCTTCGCGACAGCTACACATTGTGTGTGTAATAACAATGACTTGTGTACAGCTCCCGTATCTTCACACAGTATTTTGAGCAGTCTGCACTGCAAAGGTCGTGTCTTAAAATAGTTAATAATTTTAATCGCGTTATCAAGTATTTGCTTTAATAAGACTGGCATTTTTTTTGTTGCGAGGGAATATCGATGTAATTACATAATGACTACTCTTGCAGTTTTTTGAAATTTTCTTGATCCTTGAAACAACGCCAGCAATGTTACCCACCATGGCTTTTGTGCCATCTGTGCATACGTCAATGCAATTGTCCCATGGTATTGAGTTTTCATTAAAAAAGATATCAGGCTTAGAAAAAATATCACTTTCACTTGTTAAAGATGGAAGTGGTTTACAGAGCGAAATATCTTCATAAAAAATACCAGAAAATTCGTACCGTACAAATGTCATTAACACAGCTAATCCTGCGACATCTGTAGATTCGTCCAGTTATAACGAAAATTTTGTTTGACTGATACGAAAAATTATGTTGTCTTTAACATCGTTTGATAAATCTTGAATTCGATTACGTGTAGTATTATTTGATAAAGCTATACTAGAGATCAAATTTGCAGTTTTTTGTCCACCATGTACTTCACTACATTCACTATTAGTGGTTTTGTAAGAGTTTCAGCGAGGGTGTGTGGTTTGCCACCAAGAGCCAGTTCATAGCTTATTAAATACGATGCTTTCAGTGATTTTTTAGAATGTGATGCTTTACACGAGATACAGCTTCGTCTTCGACTTTACTAAATTTGGTCATTGGAGCACTCATTGTTGAAAGACACAATCAACGTTAACCAGCAATCCATCATAAAATGAGTGTCATATCATAATTATTTTTTCAAAACGAAAAATAAATCACGGCGCGAACAAATTTAGATCGCCGACCGCCAAAACTAACTATATTTAATTTACATTGTATCAGTAGTCGCGCAATAATGATGCGCGATCTTAAATCAGGTCGCGTTCGCGATCGCGCAGGTGATAACGTACCTAATGTCGCGTCTACACTGAAACGATAAAATTAAAACAAAACACAAACTCGTATTTTTGCGACAAAATATTTTTACAACAATTATGTTTTTTCCAATAAATTGTTCGTGTTTTTGAAAATAAAGTATTTTCTTGAGCGGTGTCGGTAAACATCAAAAGGTTTATGTTTTGTTTTTGTTTCGGCGAACATTGTCGAACGTATGGGAACGGTGTATTAATGAATAGTGCGAATAGCGTGATAGTAGTGAGTGTGAAATTTAGAAGTGCAGCCCAGTAATTTGCAAGTGTACATTTTATAATTTATAATTTTCATAATATGAACACGAAAAGAAAATGGAACATGGAAGATACTTGTAAGTTTATAGAGCTTTACAGGGAATCACCTATATTTTGGGATGCTACGGACGCGAACTATACAAATAAATTTAAAAAACCCGACACATTAAAAGAAATTGGTATTTAATTGAATATAGACTGTATGGAAATCGATTGTCAATTTGTTATAGTTTTAATTTAATTTTATCAACTCAGTGTGGACAGTATGTTTTGTTTTTGTTTGGTTATTCCAAAATGCTAAATAATTTCTTTACTTCACAGTCATTAGTCATCCTATTATGGAACGCAAATGGTCTAGCCCAGTACAAAAATGGATTAATAACAACTTTAACTAAAAAAAGAATTGACATCGCTCTAATATCTTAGACTCATTTTTTTTTTTTTTTTTTTTTTCTTTTTTATTAATACGGACAAAAGTCCAATTCACAATATATTTGTATAGATAACAATAATATAATACAATTTAAAATAATAAAATATAACATAATAAAAAATGAAAAGATTAATATATCGAATAATAGTAATAATAANAATGAATAATAATAATAAAAATACCTTCAATGTTTAATAAAATAATTAACTATTTCCCGAAGACATTAAAATATTTATGGGGTCATGTGACGTAAACTTTTTAGATGAATGAGGAATATAAAATAAATGATTGTTACGAGTATGGTGGCTATTAACTTTGAAATTTAATTGACTGAATATAAATGAATATAAATATAAATATATATATATTATATAATATAAATGAATCATCAATCTCATTATTTAGCAATTTGGTGAGGAACGTACTGTTTGATAAGTGTCTCCGTACATTTAAAGATTTTAAGTTTAAAAATTTTAAAATATTATCGTAGCCAGAGTGAGGAGTTCGTTGAATATTACATGTATGACATAAAAATCTGAGGGCCTTATTTTGAACTTTATCAAGTTGATCATTATGCCCTACATTGTTGTGATTCCAAATTATTGGAGCGTATTCTAATAAAGAACGGACTAGTGAGGTATAAAGGCATTTGAGAGCAAGTGGATCACGAAAATCGGAGCAGTTTCTTTTTATCATACCAAATACAGATAATGCTTTATTTTTAATCGCTGATACATGATCATTGAATAATAGTTTGGAATCAAATAAAATCCCTAAATCTTTAAATAATGACGAACGATGTAGGTTAATGTCACATATATGATAATTAAAATGTAAGGGATTGTGCTTTTTGGAGTAGGTAACAATTTGGCATTTATCAATATTTAATGAAAGACTATTTGAAATGCACCATTCGTTAAATGAAGCTAAATCACTTTGAAGAAGTTTAATATCATCGGGGGAAGTAATAGATTTGTAAATTTTTGCATCGTCGGCAAATAATAAAATGTTGGAGTGTGAAATGGATGATACAGCATCATTTATAAATAAATTAAAAAGGAGAGGGGAAAGGTGATCGCCTTGAGGGACACCAGAAATTACGTTTAGGTGTCGATATAAAGTTTTTATATTTGACAAATTGGATTCTATGACTTAGGAATGAGTTAAACCATGATAATAGGGGATTGGCAAAGCCGATTTCCTGTAGTTTACTGATTAATAAAGATTATTTTTAGAAAAAGATTTAATTATATGATGTTTAATAGTTATTAATTTGGTAAGACATGACTTTTTATTGCGAAATCCATGTTGTTGTGGTGCTAAAATATGTTTAAATATGGGTGTGAGCTTATTATTTATTATTTTATAAAATATTTTTGGGAGAATAGAAATTATCGATATAGGACGGTAGTTTGAGATAAATGATTTATTACTTTTTTTAAGAATTGGATTAATATAAGTGGATTTCCAAGATGATGGAAATGAGCCACTATTTAAACAAAAATTAACGAGATATGTGATAGGTGGAGAAAGTATAAATCTGCAGTTAAATAAAAATATAGGAGAGGGACTATCAGGACCAATTGAATTTTTGTAAGATAGAATATTTAATTCATTGAAAACTTCTAGGAGTTCGATGTGAAGTGAGTTTAACGAATCAATTGATTGAACTATATTAGATTGAAAATTAATATTAATAGGAGCTGTTACTTTATAAACCGAAGAGAAGTATTGACTAAATAAGTTAACAATTTCTTGACCATTATCAGCTGATTTATGGTTGAATGACATTGTATTAGGAAGACCAGATGATTTTTTAATATTTTCAATATTGGTTTTTAATAGTTTTAATTTAGTATTAAGACCTCTTACATTTTGGTAGTAGCAGTTGAATATATTGTGAATGGAAATTAGTTTTTTGAATTGATAATTTTTGGGGTGCCTTTGATGTATNTCATCATGTGAGTTAGATAACTTAAATATTGAATGTTGGAATTTTTTTAATTTGATTAGATTTATTAAGTCTTTAGAGAACCAACATGGGAATTTAGATTTGCAGTATCTTTTTTTAGGAATAAAAGTGTCTATTGCATAGAATAGGAGGGAATAAAATTCTTTTGTAATGGTTGTAATATCATTACTAATATTGAAAAATTCGTTCCAGTTTATTGAACCAAGGAAAGATAAAATATTAATATAATCTCCCTTATACCAATCATAGGTTTCTTCAGAAAAAGATAGCGGAGAGGGAGTGTCGAACTGAGAGTAGCTGACATTAATAGGAGGGTGATAATTATCTACTGGAACTATAGAATCCTTATTTAAAGATATAGAATGAGAATTAGAATTGGATAATATAAGATCCAGTATTGAACCATAACTATTGAAGATTGTATTTATTTGAAAAAGATTAAGAAATGATAGGTTTTCATTTTATTCCTAATACAAAGTTTTCAATTCCAGGATAAAGTAAATTTTCCTTTAATCATCCTGACAACACTGCTCACGCTGGTTCTGCGATTATTATTAAATCATCACTTTGATTTGTACCATATCCCACAGTTAACGAAAATTACCTTCTCGGTGACCTGAGTGCGAAAAGTTAAATATGGGGTTGCCACTCAGCAAATCCGAAAGGAGAATCTTTTACTTCAAGTAATTAACAAAAAAAAATATCCCATCCTTGCTCCTCCAAATTTAACCTACTGGCCGACATCACCACGAAAACGACTCGACATTTTGGATATATTTGTTACAAAAATCACTACTCACATTGATCATTTTAAAAAAAATCTTTTAGACTCGTGTTTGGACCACTCCCCAGTTTCTTTAACTCTAAATACTTAATTTGTTTTCTAGTCAGACAGAGCCAGTCTTACCAACGGCACTATGAACTGGGACAAATTTAGAGAAATTATATATCAGAAAATAATCTTAAAAACCTGGTTTAAAACTCCAAACGATATCGAAAACGCTGTTTAAAATCTTACTGAATGCATCCAATATGCAACATGGAAATCATCATTTGTACCACAAAAACACCAAAATAATTCACCTTCAGTTCCAGCAGGCCGCGCTAGGGCTTGCTGGCAATGCACCAGACCTCCCTCCGATAAAACACTTATAATAATTTCGTCTCACTTTTCATACGTACCTTTCACCAAATTAGGAATGACTCCTTTAAAAAATGGATTTTGTTATTCACCATAGAAGTCGGCTCTCTTTGAAAAGCAACCCGAAAATGTCTTAAACAAAAGCTTTCACTAGCACCACTTAAAAATAACAATAGTAATTGGTGCAAATCCAAACAGAAACTTTTTATTCTCATCTCCTGAAAGTCTTCCAACCTCACTAAAATATCGGCAATCACGTCTTAATCAAACATATTGAAAATTCACTTATTTCTCTTCTTCCAATATACTTTACCCCAGAACCGTTTTCCCCAGGTGAAATACTACACTTTATAAAATCTTTTCCTCTCAAAAATCATCAGGAATAGACTTAAACACTGCAAAAGTGGTTAGACAATTATCTAAAAAAGCCCTTATTCACCTAACCCACATTTTAAATTCTATTCTCAGACTCGCCTACTTTCCTCTCCAATGGAAAGTATCAGACATAATAATAATTCCAAAACCTCTGTATATTCCTTCATCTTATCATTCTATAAATCTCCTGTCTTTCTTTGTTAAACTTAACGAAAAATTAATCCTTAAACATATATCTAAAATCATTAAAGAAAAAAGAGTAATACCTGATACTCAATTTGGTTTTCGCAACAAACACTCCACAAACCCATAAATACACCGCCTAACCAATGCCATATGTCTACTCATTTGAGAACAAAAATTACTGTTCCGCTATTTTATTAGATATTGTTCAAGCCTTCGACAAGGTCTGGCACACAAGACTCTTATTAAAACTAAAAACATTTCTTTCAGCCCCTTATTTCATATTCTTTAAATCTTATCTAGAAAATCTTCACATTGTTACCAAAGTAGGCTCCGAATTCTCCAACTTACCTCATATCCTAGCTGGTGTTCTCCAAGGCGCTATTTCATCTCTAATTTTATATAAATATGCAGCAGACCAACAGACATCAAATCACACCTCCGTAGCCGAGTTCGCAGACGACAAAATCATATTTACTTCTCACATAGACCCACTTATTGCCGGTCAATATTTACAAAATCACCTTAAGGATATGAAAGAATGGTACTCGAAATGGAAGTTTAAAGTCAACAATGAAAAATGCTCCCATATGACTTTTAAGTTAAACAAAGGCAATGTCCCTCCAATAACGCTATCCAACAAAATAATAATACCGTCCTCCAATGTTCGTTATTTAGAATTAATATTAGACAAATGTTTTACCTGGGCCGAACATGTCAAACAAAAAATACTTTTGTTGAATGCATGATGTAGATTCCTTTATTATCTTCTGAGGTAAACACTCCAAAATTGCTCTTAAAAATAAACTACTGTTATATAATACTTTTCTAAAACCAATTTAATCTTATGGGATTCAATTATAGGGCGCTGTGAAAAAAACGAATATCTATAAAATACAAACTTTTTAATCCATTACATTACGAATTATCATCAAAGGTGCTTTGGTAGTAGGGTGCCTTCTTCTTCTCCAACCATACCTTACATACTGATTTGAACATTCTAACTATCTCCGAAGTAGCCATTTCATCTTACAAAATATTTCGTGCACGCCTCGCAAATCATCCAATACTAATACTTGCCCTTAATTCTGACACTATCCCAAGTAATCCCCCAAGAAGCATAAAGAATTAATCAGAAACTGGTGTGGAGATTTAGTTTAAAGTAAAAATAAAAAAAATAATAATAATCAAACTAAAGTGTTACCGCTGGGTAGCTTTTTTAAGTCATGTCACTCATGTCAACTTTAACAACATCAAACATGCAATTTAAAATGATGAAAAATGAAAATAATATTTTGTGGTGACATATATTCTTCGTAAATACGAACGATCGTAATTGCAATGACCATTTGAACAATAATAGTAATCTAGTTTACTTATTTTATCATAATCCTTTTTTGTACTTTCATCATTAAGTCCCTGTCGATAGTGAACTAGATAATATAATAATACTGAAATCGCAGTTTTATCAAAAGTAGGTATTTATTTTAGGAAAATAATAGTACAATTTTTTTTTTAAATTAATTTTATGACAACTTGTGCTATAATATTGCATAGTTTTTAGTAATACTTTTTAAAAACTAAAAAATAAAGACAAACTTATGTTTTTGTGTTAATTTTGGTATTGTTCTATTGATAAAAAAAAAAAAAAATTTGTAGTAATTCTATAACAATAAAATAAAAACTAATTGAGATAATGAACATTTTTAAAAATTATAATTATTTTATTTAAAAAAAATGATATACATGTTTGCACAAAAAATTCGAAAAATTCGATAAAAATTAATAAGTTTCTAATCAAATCGCTGTGTACGCTTTGACAATCAACTTATTGATCTCATATTTTCAATTTACCCAAAGAACAATACAATAGAAATTGATTAATAATAAAATGTAGAATTTTTTAGTTTTTGGGAATAACACTTTTGGTTAGCTAAATATTGGTTTCAGACCACTGTGCGTTCGTCAGAATCTGGCTCATAAAATATTGATGATATTGTCGGTTACTAAATCGCTCTATATTAAATCTTAGTTCAATAAAGTAATTAAATTACTAAACGGGGTGAGAATAGTTAGTACAAATAAATAAAATAGTACTGATAATCTTCAAATAAAAAAATCCCACACTTTTCAAAAATTGCGCATTTTATGAAAAACTCTATATGTACATATAACAGTACAAATACTACCCAAAATATAAATTATATCTGGTTTAAAAAAAAAATTTAATTTAAAAATCAATAGTTATACTGTAAAATATTATTAATAGCAACCATATTTGTACTTGAATATATTATATATAGATATTTATTATTATATATTTTATGTCATAATACACGACGAATCTTTTTTTTATTTATATAAAACGAATATTTGTTTATTTTGTTAAACCGAAATTGATAAAATGTCCGATTCACTTAGCTTAAACAAGTCCGTGTCTGTAGTTACAGCAAATTCTGTTGAAGTCAATGATCTGCAGCTTGATGTAAATCAAAAGGAAAGCTCATTCAGTGCAGTAGAAATCATTTCCAAATCAATCGAACAACCATTGTCGTTATCAGAAAATATTACAAACGTTATCATAAACAATGAAACTGCAGCCATGGATTTAAAATTGTCCATGAAAAAACCTGTTAGACGTAAATATCCATTTACGGAAAAGTCTAAACGGGAGAAAGAGACCATAATTCGTACGCAACGCGAAGAAAAATATGAACAAATTAAAAAGATGAACGAGATGATTACGCATGGTGCTGAGGTTATCAAAGTACGTGCTTCAAGGGTTAGTTATCAGCCGGTGTCATATGAAAATAACCCAAAAAATGTTGTAGAAACACCTGTTAAAGTTGGCGTCCAACATTTTTATTTTTTAAGTTATGGGCTATTTAAGTTTTTTAAACAAAACCGTACTCATGGTATAGTTACCATGCATTTTTTTTTGTATATTTTCAAAATTTTTTAACTTATGAAGCTATTTTATTTTATTTTATAGATATTCTGTAGTGCTATCAACCAATATACACAATTAAATCAGAACTAAACAAATTATTTTTATTAAATTGAAAAAAGTGGAATGGACAATTTTTATTTTTAAAAAAAAATCACGTGTAACTTCAAATAATTTCGTATTTACTACGGTTTTTTATTCCATTTTATTATTCTACTGAAAAATACCTACAATACCTTAAAAGTTTTGTTTCGTATCAACAGAGTTATACGCTACTGAACATAATACGTCATTTGTGATTGTAATTATGTATCATTGTAACCAGATTGTAACATGCCTAAATGAGGCATGAACTCACTAATAATGACATTTTAATGTTATAAATTAACATTTATTTTTTAAATAAGTTAATTTTTTTATTAAAGACAAAATAAAACTTAATGCATATAAAAAAAAACAATAAAATAAATAACAAAAAAGTATTTTAAAAAAAAAGTTATTAATTTATTTATTTACCATATTCTCAAAGTGTTGCCCACCTGACGGCAGACAAGTTTGGGCTCTAAATATTCTAAATACTTTGTGTAGTCTTTTGTATTTTAGTGCTATTTTGTCGAATTTCTTCTGCTGCCATATAGTACACTGCAACAATTGTTCACGGTTCTCGCTAACAATGATAACAACAATTAATGGTCATCAATTGGTTTGTTATACCTGTTATGGTAAACATTGTTTAGTCTGTCCACAAAATATGTTATAAAAAATCCAAAGTTCTTCTATGTTTTAAAGTAACCACAGAAAAAAAGTTGATACTGCCCTACTATCCTCGAACAATAAATTATGAGATCGGCGAAAATGAAATGGATGAAGGCCTTTTTTTTCAAAAATCTTCACATGACAGTTTTGATATACTTAGTCATGCAGATATGCGACGAATACTCGTAGTTGGATCTATCGTAATTGTAGCTAAAACTTCTTCTTCAAGTTCCACATCGAATATTACTCTTGGTTCTTTACGATATGTACTAAGCCACATTTTTCCAGATGTTTGTGAATGCTGATAAATTATCGATATCCAACAACAGGTCTTCCTGGTTATTGAAGTCTGTACTCTTGTACTGCGGCTCGACTGTTGCCATTACAAAATGCATATCAGCAACGTGACCGAATGGCAAATCAAATAAAATTGCCATTTTAATTACTATATATTAAATGAAGCAAAAGTACGGACAACATAACTAAAATTTAACGGAAAAATAACAGAATTCACTGTACTCAAAGATTTTCAATTAACCCTAATATTAAATCAATAACCTAAATTAAAAAAAAATAACACACATCTTTGTAAAACTATAAGCTTCTTCGTTTTACTCAAAATTTAAAATTCACTTTTTTCAGTTTAGTAAAAATAATATGTGTATTTCTGGTTTAATAAATTGTTTATGTTGGTTAGTAGTAAAAAAGATTATCTTTAAAAAATAAAACAAATTAGTTTCATAAGTTGAAAAGTTTTGAAGATTCTCAACAAAAATGCCTGGTAAATACGGTTTTGTTTTAAAAAACTTAAAAAGCCTATGCCTTCAAAATAAAAATGTTAGACTCCATTTTAAAAGGTGTTTCTTTTGGAATACTTTCATATGACGCCGGTCGGTTACTTCCTTCTGAAATTCATTGTTTATGTATATTATACAAATTATAGTTTATATAATTTATTATAATTAATATTTTGATGTTAATTTAATTTACATAATGTTATTTCAGAATCATTTGAGAAATACTCATCCAAAAAAGGTTGAAAGTCTTATAAAAATGAATAACAATCAATGGTATCTCGATAGAAATGTGATTTAGTACGTATAACTTTAACAATAATAATAAAAATAGTTTATTGCAAATCAAAAGAAAACATAAAATAAACAAAGGATATCTTAGGATAATGAGGACAGGTGCGGCTACTGTTATAGATAATTTAATGTATACCTGTAAGCAGCGATAAACCTTGCTTACGAAAAAACGATTCTGAGCAGAGTTCAGTTGATAGTGATGCTTTGTCAACATTATATATGTCATTTTATAGCAAAATAATTCAATAGGTTTCATATATTTTCTATAATAATATTTGTTTAATATTATAACGATTTTCCCAGTTTTTCTACATTTTTCCAGGTGTTCCCACGTTTTATCCAGGTTTATCATATTTGCTGAGAAATCTCTTGAGAAAATCCAAAAATGACAACATTTTCTCATTAAACGTTGTCATTTTTGTTTTCAACTCTTAAAAATTCGAAAAATGACCTCCCTACGTACGGAAAGTACTTTCCCACGCCAATTTTCTTCCTGAAAAGATGCTACACGTAGATATCTGAGCAAGTCTTCTGGTAGAAAAGTTGTGCAGAGTCTTTGTAAAACTATAAGCTTCTTCGCTCTAAAATCAAAATAGAAACATGAATAGTTGTAAATATAATATAAAGTACAATGATATGCAACTCCCCTATAAACGTAGGTTTTGTTGGGGAGTTTTACTATGGGTTCAGATAGTGAGAATGAAAATGTATAAAACTAATTGCATACCTATTTTATAGTTCATAAATTAATTTTAGAAAGATAAACATTTTGTAAATACAATTTAATAGTGTTTACATTATTTAATATTGTGGATGATAATTCTAAGTAGTCTAAGTAGTTTTTTTGTTTTTACTCATTTTAATACTAAATCTAAAATAAATTAAGGCAAAATTTACTTGTTTTATTTTTTTATTATTGTCAAACAAAACAAATCAATTGTTGAAGAAATAAATATTTATTGTGGGCCGCACTGAAATGATTCGACGGTCGCTTGTTTGAGACCATAGTGGCGCAACTAGGATTTTTTTCCAAGGGAGGTGTCAGCTTATAGCGTATACAGTTTCCCTTAATAATATAATAATAAAATAATATATAGTTATTCTTTGTAAAGTTAATGATTAGACAATATCAGACGACTACTATTTAATATTTATTATATTATCATATTCAAACGATTTTAAGCATTAATTGATGTTCCGTTATCTGCCCAACTAGTCATCTCTTCTAAACATGAATGTACAGCCCGAAGAAGTTGTTCAAACACTGCTACCAAGTCGTACCTTTCTACTCATCTTGTTGAACATAGTTGCTGTAGTTTTCATTTAAGAGTTTGTACTTGATTCAGTTCCCTGACATATTTTGAAAATTCTGCTTGCCTCTTTTGAGTATTTAAAAATACGAAAACCTTTCAATTGTGCACATAGTATTTCGAATACCTTGTAATCCACAAGCATAAGAAATAGCTAAATTTAAACTGGGTGAACTGCAATGGATATATATAGCTTTTTTTATACAAGCCTGAACACCATTGAATCGTCCACTCATCGATACAGTTCCGTCGTAACTTTGCTTTCTAAGATATTACACTGACATTTTCATCTCTGTTAGGTTTGGTTAGCTTTAATAATTAAACTTGCAAGTGCGCTTTCACTTAAGTCCATGACAGGAACACATTTTAAAAATTTTTCCTTTACTAGTTTAGTTTTATAATCAAAATAACAAACGCAAATCGAGAATTGAAAAAATATTTACTATTATTCAATTCATTAACAATTTCAGATAATACAATTTCTTGACAAAAATTGATAATTTCGTTTTGAATCTTCAGTGAATCTTCTTTGTGTACTGGCATTTTTTGCACAATTAGTTTAGTTTGTAAGATTCATCACCAGACGATTTTGTTGCATTTAAATAAAATCGCGTTAAAGCTCTAAAGTTACCGCCATTTTCTACTGGATTTTCTATCGTTAATGTTTAAAAATCACGACGTCCATGTAAGGCGATCCCTCGTCTTCAAAAAAAAATCACAGACTCGATTACAAGAATAATTATTTTTCTATTAAATTTTCTTTGTACTTTAGCAGCTTTATTTAATTGTAAATCGATAGAACCTTGTTTCCAAATTTCAATAGTAACAATGTTTTGATATTATTCAACTTATTAAAGACGATAATTACATTTTTCATGATGGTTAGATTTTTCTATTGTTTCATACCACATTCTAAAAGGTTTAAAACAAACATTTCCCAAGGTCTGAGACCCAATACCTCTTATTTTATAAAATATAACACAATACTTGCAATACACTTCGTCATTTGTTTGTGAATACGTTAGCCATTTCCATTTGTCCAACCAACTTGAAACTAATTTTTTTTTATTGAACTCACTTGTTGGGATAACAAATATGCTTTTTGGGATCCATGTTTTTTGAAAATATTACATTTTTTCTTTATTCGAAAGCTTTTGACTTTGACCAACATATAATTGAATATTAAATAAACTAACCTTACTATGACGGTGAACATATTCATGTTCTATTTGATTTTTCGAACAAGAGTATTCGTTATCCGGACTAGATTTCTAGATGTTTGTTTTCAAAATTGATTTAATATTGCATCAATTCTTGCCATAGTACTTTTTAATAAAAAAGTCTGTCATATATGCACGCTTAACCATTCTTCACACGAGGCAACTCTCAAGCGACGTGACGGACACTCGAGTATCTTGTAAATCACTTCTTATATTTAGTACTGGAAAGGCACAAACGACGCTACTTTCAAGCGATACGTATCCTACGCGTATTCTACCAGTCTCGCGTGACTTGCAAGGAAGGTCACCCGTCGTCTGCGTCGCCTGCGTCTCCCGAATATTACAAGTGTTTTCTAGAGTTTTCCTTTTTGAATTTAAACAATTTAAAAATTTAAATATCAAGTTTGTGGGTGAAGTTGAAAAAAGGCCAGAACTTTATAATTACACTTTGCTTCAATGGAAGTTGGGAAGGAAATGAACTTGCCAGGTAAAAAAAAGTTAAAATATAATTGATAATAGTTATATAATTATTTATATATTATATTATTAAAACTTATAGTTATTAATTATTATATAATTATGAATATATATATTCATTTTAATAATTTAAACGCGTGTTTATTTTCTTTCGAGTTAAAAATTACCTATAATATAATATTATGCACTATTATAAAATAATCGTATTTCAACATAACATTTGTGAATTGCTCACATCGTTCTATAATTATTCATATTTGGTACGTACGAACTATTGTATTGTACAGTACTTATTCTATATTTAAAAGATAACATTTCTCGTATATCATTCCAAATGTGCACTCTATATTTTTTCCACCACGATTTAGGCGATAATTGAAAATTTTTTTTGTATTATCAAAAATTCATTTTGAATATGGTCTTATTAAATAAGGGAATAATGGGAACGCTTCATCTCCAATCAAGTAAAAAGGACAAAGAGACTCATTTATATCATTCGAAACCGAGCAGGTGACGGAATATCAAGTCCACTGTGCGTCAACCAATATTTAATTGCTGAAGCACGAAATATACCTTCATCGCTGTTCCTTCCTGCATATCCACATTCAATCACTGTAAACAATCCGTCCGCGTCACAACAAGCCATTAATACGATGGAATGGTAACCTTTGTAGTTGAAGTTGCTTGAACCGTTATTCGGCAACTTTTCAATGCTCACATGTTTGCCATCAACTGCTCCTATGCAATTCGGGATATTCCACACAGAATAAAAATGTTCAGTAATTTGCTTCCATTCTTGTTTGGTTGGTATTGGCATATAAGATTCTCTGAGCACATCCCAGAATATGTTAGTAGCCTCGTACACGACATACCCAATGGTGTTCTTCCCTCTAGCAATGTAGAACCAAAGTGAGACAAATGTACACCGAGTTGCTAAATATATGAAATAAAAAGATTTTTCTATATTATTTATTAAGTTTAGAATTTTAATAAAAGTACCATATTTATGCGAGTTTAAATTATTATTATTATCATTATTATTGATAGTTTTTGTTTTTTAATTTTGTATTTATTTCTATAATTCTTGTATTTTTGTTACTCAGCTTCCGAATGTAAAGAATGATGGAAGAATTTGAGGTCAGTTTTTGTTTAGAACTTGAAACCTCCCCCCAGTGGCTCAAGCTCAAAGAAAAAGAAACCATATTACTTAATGGAAGCGATACAGTTTGCCCTGCCGTTTGTGAAGACTAATATGCCTACTGCTCCTGGAAATATGCCACCGGTCAACGAAAAATGTGATTCTCAGTCTCTAATCGATTAAAATTATGGTGACATTCAAGAAAAACCAGGGCCATCTCAAGAATTTTCAGCTGAGGTACTACATTTGTCTCCAGCACAAATACCACAATCGGCTTCTCGGATGGTTTCATTTCAATCACCATCGATCGATATCCAGCAGTTAACACTTTCTGAATCACCAAGTAAACCTTCAAAGGCCTCTAATGTGACTAAAAAGAAATCGAGTTTTAAACGTGAAATTTCAACCACATATGTTGATACAAAGTTCATGGATTTTCTCCTGGCAAAAACGGCCAGATTGAGTACACCAAAAGAGAGATTTCCTTCAAAAATTGCATCGATAAAATCGTTTCTTGACAGATTGATCCCGGAATTGGAGCCATTAACCGTCCAACAACTTAAAACATTCAGGCATAGGATTTTTCAACTCATAGATGAGATTACTCAACCGACACCTTTTTAGGTCATTGTTTTCAACGAGTATTTTGTCATACGATTTTTCAAACTCTTCATTTTATCCTATGTTTCCTATCATGCTTCATCAAATTGAAACGCCTACGAACATCGAAGACAGAAGTAAGTCTACAAGCAAATCTAATAGTTATCCAATAGTTAGTTACCCGCAGTTGGTATCTATGGCTATAGAAGAAGAGAGAGAATGAAATAGAGATGAAATCAACGTAACGTTTTTATCTTGTATGTAATGTTAAATGTTTGTTATTATTTTTAAACTTTTAAATACCTATTAAATATAATGCTACAATTATAAATAAAGCTACTTACCTCAAAGTAATCAAAATCCTTTCTTCCGCATTTCCGTATTACTGTATCCCTCTGACGTATAGATGGAGAAACAATGTCGATCAAGAGTTGGTATGATTCTTTCGTCATGCGGTAGAATGCTATAAACTTAGAATCAGACTTTTCTTACTCTTTTGCAGCAACAAATAAGCGACAGTGAATTTTCTTTGCAATATAAGTGTGGCACCGCATTCTTTTGATTTTCCTCTATCTATAATAGTTATAATAATAGGTGACAACTACATCATCATCACTTGATAAATCTTTATTTGACGACATATAGAAAACTTAGCAACACGGTTATAAACAAATGGTGGCTAGAGGTAGATTGAAAAGATATCGTCGCTTCACAGTAGTTTCAGAGTAGCTTAGTGTGTGGCGATGGGTTGCTTATGGATATCTTACTAACAAGCAACTCAAACTGACAATACTCGAGTATCAGTTGCGTCACTTGGGAGTTGCCTCGTGTGAAGAAGGCATTACTCATTTTATTTAATTGACGGCGACAATAACTGTTGAAAAACTGATCTGATATAATAAAAACACATAGATACCGACAAAACTGTTTCCAGTACCCGTTTTATCGCAATACTTAAAATAAAATAGGGACCATTGATTACATGGTTGTAACACATATATTTATACTGCACTATATTATATTATAGATATCTTTGGGTTTTAATAGTATACATATTTTGTCCATGATAAATTTTGTGAATTTATCGATAAACTATGGATAAAAGACATAGTAACATTTATAATACTAGGTAATACATTTTCAATATTAAAGAACTAGAATTTCTAACTTCTAAAATAAATTTATATAATAATATGGTTGACATGGCTTATACCTCATAAAATAGAGATGAATATTTAATAACTTCTACTCCAAAAATAAAATTAATATTCTTTGATATGCAAAAATATGCACATTAAATAATATACAGAAAAACTAGATCTCAAAACCAATCTGTTATTTTACAAAAGATAACTATGGACCTATAATAAAACAATAAGAAATATCAGACAAAAGAAAACATATTGTTACATGTGACATGAAGTTTCTGGTGAACGTGGATGAAAAGAAGTTGCATCAATACTTTACAAATAAATTGAAGATAATGTGCTAAATAGTATTAAACATTTAATTACATATTCAGATACTTGTTCTAGCCAGAACAAGAATATAAATGTAGCATTGATGTTTATGCTTGCAGTAAAAACTCATTAATCATTAAAAATCATTGACCAACAATTTCTTGAACCAGGACACATACATTTAGAGTGTGATTCCGATCATTAGTATTCCATACAATTGGTACAATTTTGTCCGAAACGTATGAGGGTTTTTCTACTGAAAGTGATGAAAATGCAGAAAAAAAACTAAATCATTTTCAACTTTATTAAATGGAACTTTAGTCAAATGCATAGTGCATATAAATATTGATAAATTAAATTGGCTAAAGATAGTTTGGTTGAAATATGATAATAATTTTGGTATTATTAAGTTCAAGTATTCCCTAGAAGAGAATGAACCATTCAGATGCCTTAACTTAAGAAAAGGACCTCTAAGAAACAGATATAAAAGTTTCATTGTGGTTCAAAATTTAATAATTCCTCAAAAATATTCAAGTTAAGTGTTCATTAATATAGAAAAAAAAGAAAGACCTTATTAGTTTATTACCATTTATAAATGCAGTTTATCATCAATTGAAAATTTTTTTTTGTGTGTGTAGCACCTTTTTTGAAAGGAAATCTATGTGGGGGGGTATTTTAGGGAGATCATTTTGATTTTCTCAAGAGTTTTCTCAACAAATGCGAAAAACCGGAAAAAAATATTTGTTAAAACAGGAAAATGTGTAAGAAATGTAGGTATTTGCTAAAAATATTATGGCCTTCTTTTTTCCTTTTTTGGACAACTTTTCTAACAGTAATTTTTCTCCAATTTATAATAATAGCAATTTTTCTAAAAGGAAATTTCACTGCTTTAAAAACATTAGTAATTCACGAAACATTAAGATAATTATCCTATCTGGTTTATCTAACAGTAATTATAAGCATATTCAAATGCTCGAAATTAATCTTATATTTATTTGAAAAGATTCTTTTTACTGTTCTTAATTTTATATTTATTATCTATATAAGGCGCAGTAGCATAATGATCAGTGATATTACACTTAAATAAATATGAACTGGTGCCACTAATTTTTACATTTTTTGTAAAAATTTGGTCAATGCAATAGTCGGAATTATTGAAACTCCTAACTAATACAATAAGTAAATCCATTCAAAATATATAGTATATTTAAATATTCTGTAGGTGTAACAAAGTTAATATTTATATAACTACATATGAGGTTTGATCAAAAAATACCCGGGCTGTGTTAATAATATTTATATCAATTAAGATAACGAAACCCCGATAATGTCATTCAATAAAGTAACTTCTAACAAGGCTTTGAGCGTTGGTTTGAAATCGATAATAACATTTATTTTAATTTTATGGCAATTTTACAAAAACATGTTTCAGTCGTGTGACGTATTTCATAATTGAAGAACAAAGTGTGTGTGTGTGAAATTATGTTTTGAACTAGGGAAAAGTTCTAGTCAAACTATTGAATTTTTGCAATAAGCTTTTGGAGATGATGTCCTGTCTCGGACAAAATTTTTTGAGTGGTTTAAACGGTTTAAGGAAGGTAGAACATTCGTTAAGGATAACGAACGACCTGGTAGACCCTTGACCAGTAAAACAAATGAAACTGTTGCTCGTGTTCGTGAAATTATTCGAAATAATCGTCAACTAACTATCAGAAAAGTTTCAGAAGATGTTTAAATATCTTATAGTTCGTGCTAAGAAATATAAACCAAAGAATTGAGTATGAGCTGAATCGCAGCAAAATTTGTTCCTCACCTCGTAACCGATGAACAATAACAAAACCGAAAGACCATCTCTCACTCAGACCACTCAAGAACTTTTTGAAAGAGCAGAAAGTGACCTAGAATTTTTAAAAAATATATTATAATAGGCGATGAAACTTGGATTTACGGGTATGATGTTGAAACCAAGCGTCAATCATCACAGTGGAAGTCAGCAAATTCTTCTAGACCAAAAAAAGCAAGGCAGGTGAAATCAAATGTGAAACTCATATTAATCACATTTTTTGATTTTCGTGGTATAGTTCATCGTGAATGGATGCCTCAAGGACAAACAGTAAATTAGAATTTTTATTTAGAAGTCATGAAAATATTACGAGAAAATGTTAGGAAAAAAAGCCAGAAAGTTGAAAAAGTGGTTCTTGGATGTTGCATCACGATAACACTCTGGCTCTCAGCTCACTGCTCATTCATCAGTTCTTAGCTAAAAATCGAACTCTATTAGTTTCATAACCATCATACTCACCTGACCTGACTCCGTGCTTTTTTTTTTTATTTCCGAAGTTAAAATCTACACTCAAAGTACGCCGTTTTTAAACAATTAATGACATTAAACAAAATACGGAAAACGATCTTAAGGACATTACAGTTAGTGCTTTTACATTAGTGCTTACCAGGAATATTTTCAAAAATGGAAAAGAAGATGCCAGCGGTGTATTGCTCCCCAAGGGGATTGTTTTGAAGGTGATAATGTGTATTTATAATAATATTGTGTTAATCAAATTTCATTTGAAAAATTCGGGTACTTTTTAATCACACCTCGTATTATATTTTTATTTAAAGTATTGATATTGAGTATTGAGGTATAACATAATGAGTTTTAAACATAAATTTTAAATTGACCAACTTGTCTTAAACATAGGAAATGTATAACTTATTTGTAATATTTATTTGGTTTATTTTAATTACAGTAGTAGAGACGACATAACGCAAAGTCAAACACTTAATGAAAGAACAGAGGCGTTTAAGTCCAATTTTAAAAAAATCATTGATGATTTTACAATAGAAATAACTGATTCCGAATCTAAGGAAAAATGTACGATGGTCGATGATAATCAAAATAACCATGTTACGTGTACAGATGAACAAGATAATGACACAGCAAGTTTGAAAGAAAATATTAAAAGTGATATTTCGAATTTAGTAAGACAAAAGAAATAAATAAATTAACATTATTTAGGGTGGGTAATTTATTATATTAAATTCGTATTATATTTAGATGGAATACGTCAATGAACCTAAGTGTGAGGATGAATACATGGAGATATTGGATAAACATATTTTTGAAGTGGCTTACAAGCTGGAAAATAGATTAACTTTGAATCCAAAATATATAGAGTTTAAAGTTACCTAAATACTATAATTATATTAATATTAATATACCTAATGTGTATTATACTTGATTAAAAACTAATATTTGGTGAAACAAACTTTTAAATTTCAGATAATGAGCATGAACTTAAACACTATTAAAGATAAACAACTGATACAAGTCAGAAATCGTAGTAAAACCCCAATATTGTGCTGTTATAGCCATTTGTTTGATCCAAATTCTATAATTCTGGAAAGCCTGCATATTATTAAAGTATACCGAATTTAAATTTAAAGAAGTACCAAATATCAAACAAATTATTGTAGGATTTTCTGAAAACAAATTTAAATTATATCCATTATTATAGGTAAATTCGATAATTTGGCGTCGTTTGATGCCTGGAAAAACGATTGACTATTTTGTAACGTTTAAACCAATAGAATTGCCAAATTCTAAAACCTATGCGAGTTTACAAGGAGTCAATTTAGTGTTTGAAACTACCAGTAGTAACAGACCGGATATAAAATGTATGTTTCACATTCCGATTAAGTTTTGCGTGGTTAAACCGGAACCAGTATTGGTTACTAAGACAATAATGTAATTTAATGTTCTACTGTAAATTTAACTATAACACTAATACCGGGTTACACCAAATATTTATTCTCGTTTACCTGGAGTTAAAATAAATTTTGTTACATAAACTATATTTTTAATTTTATCTATTGATAAAAATGTACTTTATCAAGAATTAAATTACAGGCCTATTTATCGTCGTGTAAAAATCTATGTATTTCAGTATTCTGGTAATAACCTGAATATTTCACAATGATTGAGTAACGCTCGTAAATTTTACTAACTCATGATAAAACTTTAATTTATCAACCGTTAGTTTATCATTATATAAATATTTAACACTGGATTTATCAATAGATAAAGTTTGATAAGTTTGATGAAACCGGGCATAAGTACTATATAACTGTTATAAATTCTATTTGTTTCAGTTTCCCAGCCGTATATGACTCTACAGTAAATATAACACCAAAAAAATTCCTCATCTTGAAAAACAATAGTGATGTCGAATGTGTGTTTAGCGTATTCAAAGAAACTGATTACCAAAAAATAAGGAATACTGGTAAATAATAATAAAATTGAACACTACCACATCGCCACGATCGTTTCGCCACCATAATTTCATCTCGATTTATTTCGTTTCCGTTAATTTCGCCGCCAAATTTTTGCCGCGAGATGTTTATTTTTGTTAAAACCTAAGGTCATATTTTGGTTATTTTTCAACGTACGCTAGTGTGATCTCAACTTTTACACATACGGCTATTAAGGGTACTTCATATTAAAATTACCCCCGTTCTGATATTTTGATTAAGTATATCTCGACGAAATTAAGTGATAGGAGAGTTGTTTTAACGTCAATACATTAAGCTTCGTACCCCACGCAAGTCGCCTCCATAGTTTGACAACGTTAAATCCCTTCTAAGGGAACTAGTCTGAAACTTGTCCGATCATCTATAAACCATCTCATACAATTTAGTGTCATCGGAATAAAAAATGAATTTTGCTCCAAAGTAATTGGTGGGTCATTAATATTTAACGAAATTGCCCTTCCTTTCAAATTTCAGGAAAATATACAAGAATAAAAAAAAAATAGGTACAGTTGTATCTAAGATAAAGGAGGTACAGTGGGGAATTTACGGAGGGTGTTGTGAGTTTCTCCTGCCTTCTAATGTACTTCTATGTACATACATTCTACAATGGTATGTATTATATATATATATATATATATATATTAGGGTGACAAAAAAAAAATAATTTTTATTTTATGATGGTCCCACCCACTTAAATTATTCATCTATATAATAAGAAGGCTCGCAAAAGATTTCAAGGAAAAGTATTTATTTTTTTGGTTGCGCAACTTATTTGAAAATATGATAAATTTTACATATATAATCAATAGTGTATAAATACAAACAAATATATACAATTAATAATAATAATAAAAAACATATAAATTACTATAATAACATACAAAATAATTAAAAAAGTCATCAATTACCATAATAATATACACAATTTCAATCATTTAGTGTTGATCTATTTGGATTTGGATACATCTGTCTGTGTTGTTCAACTACTTGTAAAAGATATTGCTTTTGCTCCTCTTGGTTGGTAAGTATCCCATTGAATGTTTGAATTAATGAAATTCCACGTTCAGCAGCATCATTTACTACTTTCAGATTTTGAATCCTTTTACGACTCTCAATGAAATCATTATTATTTTCCGAAGTACTTGGATGCTGATTTAAAAATCTTGAGGTATATCCAAGGCTTTAAATAATTTGAGGGTATTTTTACAAATAAAATCACATAATTGTACTGTTTGAACTGCCGTCATCTCAACTGTAATACGCCGAAGAGGGATTTCAGCACCTTTCTTCACTAATGATTTTACCATATTTTCTTTAATTTCAGAAGACACTTTGCTGTCAAAAAAGGCTAATCCAATAAGCGTTTCACTTATATACCATAAATGTCTTGAGAAGCTCTTGATAGCCGGATCAGCAATAACTTTATTTGTTTTTTTTGTAATTATCGAGTTCTTTTAAAAGATTTAGATCGTTGTTAGGAGCTAATTCTCCACAAGAAGAGGTATACCAATACTTAATATAAACTTTTATAACAAAAACGTTGAAGACGCGAAGAGCAGATAATTCTCGAACAGTTAGTTTAAACTGCGATCGAAATAAGTAAATTTTCAAGTTATAAATTTACTTTGCCATCCATCTAGCTCGATGTAAAGCACCAGGTGTACGAATGTTAAAACATCGAGCAGTTTTATCTCCTAAGAATATAAGAGAAAGTTGTAACAATTCCCTATAGTCATCTCTAGGCTGATATGTCGCTAACTGGTCTTTAATGAACTTTACAAGGCCATTTTTGTGTGGTTTTAATTCATTAGCGACTGTGTCTTCTGTTATTCCGCTTTCATATTTATTTATATTAATTTGGCTCCAGTTAGATGCAAATCTTTGAAACAGCCAAATATTGGGACCGTTTGAAGTTTCCATTAACGCATTAAACACTCTCTCAATAATAATTTCTAATATGTGATGTCGGCATGCTAAACTGATGAGGTCTTTTTTATTTTTTTTTTCAAGAAGTACACGTGCACCAGTGTTTACTCCTCTGTTACTCGCTGTAGTATCAAATGANAACTGCAGTTGCTTGGGCTTCTCCCGTTCCGTTTGGAATTTTCGGCACACCAAGTTATTTCATAGTACCATCCCCTGATATTATAACTGCTAGACGATCAACTTTGTCTTTTGAAGTTAAAGCTGAAAGTATTTTCCGTCCTAATGGACTGTCAATGGAATACTTATAACGAATGAAGTTCTTATTTCGTTTGCGATTTTCTCTCGATATTCTCTACGAGCTTGTCTAATTGACTCTCTATTAAGAGTAAAGTTCTGTATATTATGCCCTAACGATTTTACTGTAGCAGATAAAATGTACGTACCATTACGGTCACTTACTTTCGTTAAATCCAAAGCAGAAGCTACTGTAGAAGTTACAATATTAATAGGTTTTAATGTATTGTTCGTTTTAAAGGTATTATTTTGTTTTAATCTTTTATTAGAAGGTTCATAAAGTTCATCATCATTATCACTATCACTACTGCTGCAGTTAAAATTATTACAATCAATATTTTTATCAACTTTTGATTTTTGTGCCAATTCTTTTAACCATTCGGCCTCCTTTTTTTTCCTTAACTCGTTTTGAAACTGTCGCTCTTCACTTCGCTCTTCTTTTTTAAAAAGTTTAATGTCAATTGGGCCCATAATACCACGTCTTCCTTTTTGTCTCTGAGCAAGAAGAAACTCTTTATCCTTTTTTATAAAAATAAGAGTCAACGCATCTTTATGAGCAATATCAAATAAATTGTCAAAGTCACTGATAAATACAGATTCTATATTTAATTGTTTTGATGTTTCTCCTTGAGGAACTTTTTTTAATATTTTGCCACTTACAATGTATTTTTTTAATTTTATCGATTACATGACATTCTTTTTGCGTGGGAATTTTGGCTTTTTCCCAAAAAGCATTAACTTCTCTTGCAGTTATTGTAGCACTAGTTTGTATAGGTGTTTTTTCGCGAGAGTGCAAATGAAAAAAACGTCGAAGTACTTGTTGAATAGAAGGAAGTTTACAACCAGTAATGGATTCAAGTGTCCCTCCAATCAACCAAATGCCATGATTTTTAATGTAACTTTTAATTGCAGTACTAGCGTTAGCCATGTTATCTTAGAATTTAAAATTAATGGCACAAAAAAACGAATAAAAACTTAAGCATACGAGCACAACTTATACGATACGATAGGTATTGATATTATATATGAGTATATTCACAACAAAATAATAATCATTAATGTCGTACTAAAAAACACCGACTAATGTCAAACGAGTATTGCGTAATCGGCGTATTTTCGTCGATAATGCGAATAAAGTGCGATATTAATAACTTTGGTGTTGCGCGACTTGTTCATATTAACCAAATGAGATAAAACTTTCCAAAAATCTTTTTTATACCGAAATGAACATTTTAGGTGGGTGGGATAAAACAAATAATAAATTTAAATTTTTTCCATGTAAAATATTGTCACCCTAATATATATATATATATATATTGCTCGTTGATAATGCTAAGTACAGTCGTTGATGAAATATTATATTAATAGTTATTTGAGTAATGGTACAATGATTTTATATCGTGAACAATATTTTTCAGAGCTGGTATTCAAATTAAAGTATCTTGTTGTAAGATAATTTCCGATACCAAAACTTACATAACGCGTACATGGACGGTCGTTAATATTACTAAAAAAGCTGCGCTCCTTTCTCCGACAGTAAATTATTTTAATCAGGGACTGGAACCTTAACGTACCGAAAAAGACCTGTTAAAGACAAAAACTTTTTTAAAATCACAAGACTGAAACCCTTAATAATTTTTATTAAGAACCGAAACTGAACCGAACCCTTTATTTTGTTTTATAAAAATATATAGAGGTATTTTCATTTTTTTTTGTTCCAATTTTCAATTTATAGTTTATTTATTTTAAATAAATAATAGTAAAAATATAAAATCGTAAATCTACTCACTGGTAATAAACAACTTCCTAATCCATCCTCTCGTAGTCTCGTGAATGTACTAACTCCAAGTGATCGCATTCCTCTTACAATCCGTGAGTTATTAGTTTTTACATTGTGTAATCGTAATGTTTTTTTAGTATTTCTCATTATTTTGGGTTCACCTAGAGACTCGGTGGGAGCCACTGGCTTGCTCTATATAATGCTGGTATAACTACTACCATCGGTTCGATAATGGGTAGTGTTATCTACATTTTTTTTTGTCCAGTGGCATAGATACGGAGGGAGTTTATAAGATTTAAACCTCTCAGAATCAAAAAATAATAATAATTTTTTGTTTTGCAATGGAATCTACAATTTAGATACTCGTAAGTACCAAATGGGCAATAGTTAATCTTATCCTATATTTCTTCTTATATTGTTGACAACCGGCGACCGTATAGGGTCATACCGCTAATGATTATTTATACATGTAATCATTTATCATTGTATTTGACTTTACGATTTCAAATTTGTTTAATATAAAACTAACTTAATATTAAAGACTAAATAATAGCCATTTTTCGTAAAATATAATTACATTAATAGTAACTAGTATCGCCCAATAGTCGGAATTCGACTATGAAAAAATTGTGAATATGTGTGTTTAAAATGTGTGATTAGTGACGACATTTCTACTACTTAAAATATTTCAAAGAAAAAAAAAACTATCAAAATCGGTTCATATATTCTTGAGAAAAAGCCAATTTATAGATATTAAATTTAGCTCTCCTCCTATTGGAAAATCTAAAAACAAATTATACAAATATTTAGCACGTGATTCACACGAATTCTCACGCCTATTTTTGGAATTCTCACGATAGTCCTTCCCCTCAAAATAGATATACGTTCAATATTATTAGCATTATTCTAATATGTATGATACATTTACATATTTTTTTTTAATGAAAATTTAGTCTGAATAACATTGTCAAACAACAAAATATAAGTAAACTTACAATTCAAATCGTTATATTTATTATGGTTAAAAATATAAACCGAAAATAAAATCGGGAAGTCACTGTGGGTGTCTAAAATAAGACTGCGGTTTACGAACCGGTATTATAGATAATAAAAAAAATCATTATTTTACTCATGGATTTCCAATTTCTTAAAAATTTAAATTTCTAACTCCAATCTACAACAATAATCTGCTAAATATTTGTAAACAAATAAAATTTAAAAACTTTGAAAACAAATTGTTTAAAGCAAATTTTAGAATATTGTAGTTTTATATAACATCATAAAAAAAAAAAAAATTGAAAAATGTAAATTTTAACTATGATTTTGGATGTATATTTTGGGGGAGGGAGTACTGTCATGCAAATTACGTGCAAAATATCTGCAAAAAAATATTGGAAAAATGTTAATATCTGTAAGGGAGAGAGGGGCTGGCGAGACGCATCCTACCAGCTCTCCCCCAATAACTTTGAATTTTCCGAGGGAAGGAGTGTCGTGTAATTACGTGCGAAATATTTGCATAATTTATTTTTGGATTTTCCAATAGGGAAAGGGCTGGTCAAACGTACGTTTCATGTACGCATTTTGTTAGTTTTTTTATCGGAAATTATTTTGCAGCAAGACGCTTTGTATTGATACCAACTCTGAAAAAAAAAATAGACGATGTTACCATAATTCTCTCGTTAAAATAATATTTATAAAATCATTTGCACCATAGCTTAAAAATATTATTAATATAAAATTTAATCAATGAGTATACCTAACATTTTCAACGATTAATATATATATATATATTTATATAATGAACAGTGGCGTAGAGATGAGGGGTGTTGATGGTGTAGAAAAATCCTCCCCTCTTGACCATGTTTATTAACTACATGTATATTATAATAAAATCGTGCAAAATAATTATTTTAAAATATGGCTATAATTCCATACGTAAACATAACTATATCACTACCTATGTAAATTACCTAACAATGTTCGTATTTTATATATATTTCGTATGGCGTCTATGAGCAACATCAGAAACACCTAAAATGTAAAAAGATATAACATGTATAAAATTAAAAGATGGTTAACAGTGATAAAACTCAGAAATAAACAAACACATTGATTAAATACAAATTCATTACTAACATAAAATAGACAAGAGGTTCTCCATATGGTAAATGTAGAGGACATGCTATAAATCCAAATCTAGGTTCTTCATCCTTCACCAAGTGGATATCTTCCACGGTGCCTTTAAATGCACGAATTGGACATTTAGTGGTGATGTGATTGATCATCTGGGATTCATAGCTACAATCACACGTTTCAGTGGCACGCAGTCCCCATTTTTACATCATGTGGCCATTCCTACCATGGCCAGTCCTGATACGGTTTAGTGTTACTCAAGTATTTCTGTTAAGTTCAAATCCTGGTTATTTGATAGTTGGGTTAATCACCATTTTTTGGTTTCTGGGTTTTTTATTGTCCAGTCGCTTTCCCATTTATAACTTATATTGAATTTATCTCTGGTGAGATCCCTTGCTGTTTTCCACGATGGTTTTCGGAATTTGAGTCATTGAACATTTTCTAATGTAATCAGGTCCGCGTGTATGGGAAGGGAGAGGTTATTAGCGTACTTTTTCCATTCTTGCAGGAGTGCGTGTTCTCTTCGTAACTTTGGCGGAGCAATGTTACTAAGCACTGGTATCCATTTTAGTGGTTTGGATTTTGTCAACCCGCCAATCGTGCGTATTGCTGCATTAAGTCGTTTGTCTACGTTCTTTGTGTGGATGTTATTAAGCCAAACGGGAGCACAATACTTAGCTACAGAGTATACTAATGAGAGCGTGCTTATGCGTAACGTGTTTGCATCTGTTCCTCATGTTGAGCTAGATAGCTTTGAAATGATGCTCTGTCGAGTCTTAACTTTTGCTGATAGTCTGGTTAAATGTTCTCTATAAGTGAGTGTTCTATCTAGAACCACTTCTAGGTACTTTGGGTGCTTAATATTTCGTACTTCTTCACCGCCAAAGCTTATATTTATTTCTTGATTAGCTTTTTTATTCTTCAAGTGAAACACTGTTACTTCCGTTTTTGTTGGGTTATGCTTTAGTCTCCACCATTTAAAGAATGAGTCTTACTAAGGTTGTTGGTTAGGGGCTCTTCTAGTCCCTCGAAGTTGTTACTCTGACTAGCCAGAGCAATATCATCCGTATAAATAAACTTTCTGGAAGATTTTGAAGGCAGATCTTTTGTATATAAATTAAATAGTAGTGGGGCCAGGACCGATCCTTGTGGTAGGCCATTATTTAGCACCCTCGTCTTACTTTTTTCTTCTCCTATGTAGACGGTTAATTATCTATTACTAATTATGTTGTAGGGTAGTATGAGTAATATTTTACAGGGGATTACATCGAGGAATTTAGAAAATAGGCCTTTTCGCCAAATTGTGTCGTAAGCAGAGCACAAGTCGACAAAAGCTACAATTCGTTTTTAGTTTTTTAAAAAAAGGTGGCTCCAGTTGCCTATATTGTTCCTAACCTAGGTGGCAGATCCATAGTTTCTATGGTAGAGAGCTGAGATTAGCGTGTATCCAGAGATTTTAGCTCTCCGTGTCATTTGTAACTCATCTGGAACATGAGTTTCCTGCAGCAAAACTATATCTATTTTATGTTCTTTTAAGAGACTTTCGAGATATCTGCTTTTATCACTGCTGATTCCTTCCACATTAAGTTGAAAAATACGGAGCTGGGGGCCCAGATCTCAAGCCAGATAGTCCTCAGAAGGACTGTTTTCTGGTTAGGCCGTGTTGATGTTGGTGTTATTGTTGCTCATGATTGCTGTGAAGTTCTTAGAATAGTATAGCAGCCGGTGATGGTAATTCTTTAGCCGTCTAGGAAGTTGCTCGGGGTACACTACGTGGAAGCGAATTACCTTTGTACCCCTGTATTTTATAAAAAATATGATGTAAAAGAATGATTATTGATAAAACCATAACAACATAATTAAATAAATTTGATGAATAAACTAACCTTCATAGGTTTATTTACCTATAGTATTTAACTATGGTTTATAGTTATTTGTTAATCGGTTACCAGATTTATCATTCTCGCTATAGATAAGAATATTGACATCAATATCTGCATTTATCAACTGTTTACAAAATAATGCTTTTAACATTTTAAATTTTGTTTTTTGATTCTGATAGAACAAAGACGCTTATAACTTTATAATGGTGTTTATTTTTTTTTTATATTCTGAACCCCTTTTTCCAATAAATTTGCTCAGATTTGCAAGTGTAGCACTTTTTCTGGGGAATTATAGTGGGGTGGTACTCTAAGAATGTCTAAGAATGTGCTTTACTATATGGAGGGAGGAAAGGCTTCCGGAGGATTGGAACAAAGCTATTATTATTCCAACACATAAAAATGGAGACAAATTATATTGTAACAATTATAGAGGAATCGCACTGTGTTTGAATTCACACAGTGAACAAGGTGTTTACAAGGATTTTATTAAAACGTTTGTAACTTATAGCAGAAGAGTGTATCGGAGACTACCAATGTGGATTTCATAAAGGTAAATAAAGATTAATGAGTGTTCAGTAACTATATGAGTTTTAGAAATGAAATATGAATTTCGACAAAATGTGTAGCAAATTTTTATCGATTTTAAAAAGATTATGACAGCATATATCAAGAAAGCTTGTATAATAGCAGTTTTGTATTTAAGTTAGTTTTAGATTGCCTTCCTTTAAGTAGGAAGAGTGCTCTTCGTCTAGCATTGAGCATAAGATGTTTCTGCTTAATATGTAAACCTCAGGTAAGTCTTTTATCAAGTGTGAGGTATTGTGGTATGTTTGAGAATGAAGGTGATGTGGGATGATTTTTCATTATTTATTTGTATTCTCTATTTGGAATACTAGTCTGCAAGTAAGTTTAGATGACTTTGTAAGTGTGGCTGGCAAGAAGTAGATTTTTTTTGGAAATGCAAATACCTTTATCGTCAGTGAAGTCAGCTACAGAAGTTTTAGAAGAGGTTGGTTGATAGGCTGAGTATATGTTAAATAGTATGGGGAAAGAGATGGCGCCTTGAGCGACACCTCTAGAATTGGGGCCAAATTTGAGATTTCAGTGCTAACTTTTGTGGCAAAGAATCTTTCTTTGAGATATGACTTAAAAAATAACTAGTACGGTGGAGGAAGAATTATTTTTAGCTTGTGTTAGAGACCAGGATGCCAGACTCTATTGAAGGTTTGGGAAACATCGAGTAGGCCAGCTGAGCATTATGACTTCATTTTCAAAGAATAGGCGATTGAATCATTTAGATGGTGTATTTGATGGTATTTGAGCGTATCAGTACATTATACGTTTAAGTGACGAGATCAGCTTCTTATAAATACTTTTGTCAGATGGGAATCTTGTTCGTTGTCAACGGGCTCTGGCTCGCCTCTTTTGCGTTATTAGTTCGCAGTCATGTGCAGGGATTGATAATTGGTTAGAGCTTTTATTTTTTTTTCAGATGGGCGGTAGAGTTCCACGTAACGAACTAAATGATTTTATTTAGATTTTCCTTTTGGGTTAATTGTATGGCAGCCCCATCATTGGTGTTTGGTCACCATCTATGATGAAGTATTGATCAAGGGAGTTAAAGACATTTTCGAATTATGCTTGTGTAATTTTGTATTTAGATAGGCAATATGACACCACCATGGTTATTAGGGTATGGTTTAATTTAATATTTATAGCTACTGCTTGAAGGAAGTCTTCATTAATACTGGGAAGGAGTGTAAATTGTATAGGTGACCTGATGAAAATCGCTGCACCTGCATGGGTCGTGTTATCAGAGTGGTTAGCTGAAATTGTTGTGTAACCAGGAATTGCAAATTTGGAATTGGTTGTAAAATGGGTATCTAAGATTAAAGCTAAGTCGATTATTTTTTTATTTAGAGTTGTTATTAATTCATTTCTGTGGTTTACTAGATCGTTAGTATACCATAACAGGATGACTAGGGATTATGAGGTAAAAAATTATTTAAAATTTTGGGTGAGCAGGCGATCGAGAATAGTGGTGAGGAGGGATTAAGAGGATTTTTTAATGATTTAAATTTGTTAATTAAATTGGTTAGAGGGGAGAAATCATTAGATTGGGCTGTAGAAGGTGGATGCGAATTTTGGTGGTTTGTGGTTTGGACGTAAGAATGAGAGGGTAGATTTGTTTGTAAAACTGGCAACCTTTGTAGTTGGCCGGATGGTTGCCTTTTGATAGAGCACAAGTGCGGGTGTGTCTCTAGTTTTCACGCAACTGGGTGATGAATGGTATTCCTCACAGTAAACGCATCTCGGTGGATAGATACAATACTTCCTAGAGTGGCCATACTCTTGGCAGTTGAGACATTGCACGATGTCTTTCCTTTTGTGTGGTTCTTCGATTTTGTGCGAAGTAATAATATTAGGTTAAAAATGTCTTTATTTCTGCCAGCTCAAGGTCGATAAAAAAAAAAAGGTAATTTATTTTTTGTGTTTTTATGGATAACATTTGCCATTTGGCGCACTGTGTATCCTTTTTTTCGATCGAAATCCCGTCAGCCATTGGTATTAATGGATGCAAGTTGCGAATGACAATACGGAAGGAATTTTTCTTCTCGTGGCTGATATGTGTGGTATTGGACCTTACTTTCTTTTAGGAAGTGGATAATGGCAAGATCTGGTTTAGTTGACTGTATTTTTAAATCATAAGTAGATGATTTAAAGAATTTGACCGAACCAACCAGCCTTAACAGTTTTAACATTCTTAATATTAAACCTACTTACAATTTTCTTTTTGTACATACACGGTATGTAATTCTTATTTTTAGACATAGCGGTTGCAAATAAATCTCTAGAAACCATAAATGATCGTACAAATATATTTGAGAAAATTATAACGTCCATTATTTATAAGATGTTTTGCTACTTTGTATGGAAAAATCACATTAAAGTATTGTTACCGGCGAGGGGAACCGTTAAAGTTCCAGTCATATTCAACCATAACTTTGCTTATTCGTCAATATCCGAAGATTACATTATTGCATTTGATAATACAAATTACACGATTCCAAATCTGGTAATATTCTCGAGTAATTTTTTCTAATGGTGTTGGGTTAAGTTAGGTTAGGCAAAAATAATGAGGTTTGTTTTCAAATCTATAGAAAATAAATGTTATCGGTCACATTAAAGATAATATAACAGTAAAATCCAACGTGATTGATGTTGGTCTATGCTATTTAACGAGTTCGGTGCAGATCATCAGTTTCCAATTACAGAGTAACAACAGAGTGGTAGTACCGTTTGAAGTAACAGTACCTCAAGAACTGTGCAAACATGTAGAACTAAACCCATCAAAAGGATACCTAAAAGCTGGGTCTTCTTTGGATATTTTTATCCGGATTTGTTTGAAGTTTGTTTCGATATCAATATCAATAATATTAATATTGGAATTCACAATATAACAGTGGAATTCGAAAAAACAGATTTTAATACAAACATTTTATAGGTTGGACATTATACAGCCTGACTGTTGTATGTACTTTAACGCTGACAGTGGTTTCTTAGATTTCCCTGTCCGCATTCATCCGTCAAACTCAAAAAAATATTATGAAGTACGTGTCTTGGTTGTAGTTACTACTCCATTTGGTTTGAAAATAACTCCCGATACTTTGAATTTTGGTACGGTTAACACGACAGAAACAGTCGTTCGGATAATTACTTTAGCCAATCATTCAAGAACTACAATGGAATACAGCTTTTTAAAACTACCAGAAGTAATATTGAATTCGTATTTTTTTTTTTCAAAAGTGATAAACAAAATACATAAGTAAGATACTTATTGTATCAGAAATTATTAACTTTATTTGGATTTTTTTTAGAACATTTAAAAAATACGTAACTTTAAAATGTTAATAAATTTCGGTTATTTTTTTTCATTCATATATTTATTTTGATTTTCAATTTTTTGGTTGTACTGAAGATTCCAAAAGTATGGTTCACGACCCAAAATTTGGTCACGATCATATTTTTGTTGGGTCACGTTATATTTTTAAATAATATATTTTTTAGATTCTGAGTGTAGCGAGAAATGTATTGGTTTTACAATGATGTTTATTTTTTTTCTATCCGTGAACAACTTTTCTACCAAAAATCTTGTTCCAATTTACAAGCACTTGTAGCACTTTTTCGGAAAGGAAATCTGATTGAAGAGGTACTTTAGAAAAGTCTTTTTTTGATTTTCCTTAGAGTTTTTTCAATATATTGTAAAAACAGGAAAAAAACTGACGAAAAACGGGAAAATGTACGAATGTAGGTATTAGGTAAAAAAAAAAAAAAAAATATGGTTTATTTTTATCTGTGAACCTTTCTACCAGCTATTTCACTCCGATTTACAATTATGCCACTTTTTCTGAAAGGCAATCTCACTGTAGTGGTACTTTAAAGAGGTCATTTTTTGATTTTCCTAAGAGTTTTCTCAATAAATCGATAAAACGGGAAAATTTATGAAATGTAGCTATAAGTAGGATTAATGTAGGTATTACGGACTTTTTTTTTCCTGTGAACAAATTTTCTACCAGCAAATTGGATCTATATTTAAAAATGAGATTATGCCACTGAACAAACTTAATAAATCATCCAGAAATGAAAAATAAACAAAAAAATTATCGTGCCACAAAAAGTTTGAAAACCTCTAGGTTATAATATTTAATTATTTAATTAGTTACATTATCAACATTATGATTGTTAATTGTTTATACTTTAGCACCATAGATAATAAAAAAGACTGACATAATTCGTATTTATGTGGGCCACTGTTGTGGATAAGAAGTTGGGAAGGTAGTAGAGGAGAAATTTAATGTACTTTGTAAGTAAAAATTAAACATTGCTAACAAAAAAGCCATTCTAAGCGGAGTTCAGTTGATAGTGTTGCTTTGTCAACAATATATATATCATATTGTAATAAAATAATTACATATACAAAATATGCAAATGAACTAATAGTAAAAAAAAAATAACTTATTAATATGTACCAACAGTGCCGGATCTAGACTTTTGGATGCCTGGAGCAAATGTTTTTATGAGGCCTTTAGCAGTAAACAAATTAAAAATACCCAATATCTAAGTAGTTAAGGAAAAAAGTGCAAACTTGCACTTTATAATCTACTACTGTACTATCCACATTAGAATCGAATTAGCTGTTAAGCGTTTATTAATTTTATTAAAAAATAATTCATATAACCACTGAAACTTTTATACCTATATACTAAAATATTTTGTGTTCACTGAAAGCTTCATCCTCATAGACCAAATCATATAAATACAAATCAATTTTTATTTTTTTGAAGTTGATATTTTTTTTTTTCATTAATTTCCTAAGCCAAGATTCAAAAAGTTTTAAATTTTCATATAGAATTCTGGTATCCAAATGCCTCCTGAACATCTGCTGCCCGTGGCAAGTGCCTTTACAAAAACGGCAAAAACGGTTCTGTAGACGGCTCTGTAACCTTGTTTGTAATAATAAATTATCATAGTAGAAGTTATTTTACATAATACATAATTGCCTAGTATCAGTGCGACGATAGGTATTTTCTTTAAATTATAATACTCTGTAATATACTAATAAATAATTTAAGTAAACTTAGTGTACTTTACTCATTCTTTTTTTTTAATAAATTAAGTTTGTTAACTTCTGTACTACTAAATAAATGAATGCCAACTGGTATTCCAATACTACTGAAACTATCTTAAAAATAGGAGATATGTGCATAAACAGCTGTCCTAGGATAATGGGAACGGGTGTTTTGTCAACAATATATATTACCAATATATACAATGTATAATGTATATTATACATTATATACATTATGGTAAAATAATTAAATAATATGCATTTTATATTTTCTTTAATGATATTTGTTTAATATAGTATCTATTTTCCTATTTTCCCAACGTTTTTCCCATTTATTGAGAGAACTCCTGAACCTCCTTAAAGTCCCAGTACTTCCTAAATTAGATTTCCTTTAAGAAAAATTGCGTTTGAATGTATTGAAACAAAAAGCAATAGAAAATCTCGTTGAAATTGTAGGTGTTCAGGAGGTAAATAATGAAGACTGCCATGTGTCTGTAATGAGTCTGTAGGAGTGAAAGTAAATCTACTAAAAGCTTTTTGTATTTTTTCGAAAATTGAAAATAAACCCAAGAAAATAATGACAATTCAATGGCTTGGAAATTCTAATGAGGGAACTACGCTTACTACTAGTAAAGCTATTAACTTAGTACATTGCACGTTGAAATTCAAATTTTCAATTACACTTCAAGTTTTGGCAGAACTGTTTTCAATTACTTTACCACTTTTTAATCAACTGCAAAATCAAAATTTGGTAGTCATTAAAAATGTATAAAACTGTTGTAGAAGAGTTGTAAAATAAAAACAAACAAAGTTCAAAGTTTTAGTTCGATTTATACCAAATCATTAACATTCTCTGATATTCATAAAATAGACGTTAAAAATAAATCGAACGTTTAAAACAAGTTAATCGCGAAAATATATTGACCAAAATCCCAAAACAATATTTTTGTTTTACCTTATACTTACTCTTTTTGAATTATTTGATATTGGAAATTGAAAATAGATTTTTTGATCGCGGTCATGAAACAATTTATTATGTATTTGCAATATTTAATACAATTTATTTTACGCTATAATACAGATATCGAACAAATTATTGAATCAGACAAGTTTTATATTGATGAACTAATTGGCTCAATGTAACATCTATTTATGGAATTTGTAATGTAGGTTGCCATTTGAAAATCAAAAATAGGTAGTGGTTTTACCATCTAAAAAAAAGAAGTGATGTAAAATTTTAAAGCTACTGAATTTTCTAAAAAAACAAATTCTGAAAAAAGTTAATATTTTTCGAGAGTGTTATGTTATAAATATATAAGTATATAAACATAAATACAATACAAATTTGATCATTACTTTACGAAATTTAAATGGTTTGTATACTTTTAGAGAGTTTCTATACATCCTAACGCATTTGGAAGTATATTGTCTGGTGAAAATATTCTTCTGCACATTTATTATAGTCCTAGTGCAAAAGATTTACCCAAAAATATTTTTACGTTTGAAGACGATTTTATATTGACATGTTCTACAGTTGCTGGTTTGAATGCTGATAAATTGAATTCTAAAGTAACTATGATCGAAATATTTAGATTATATAATTCAGTGTCTGCATAAAATCGACGTTGAATGCGATTTAAATAAAACAAATGAATAGCAGAGCTCTTTAGTAGAGTTCCGTCACTAGAGTTCAGCTTTCCCGTAGTTGACTTGTTGCCATTATAGTATTTCATGTTTTTTTTTTTAATTACAGTGATAAGGAATTGACCAAAAATGTTTTATCTAAATATCTAAAGGTAAAATAATTCTCGAGATTTTTGTTAACATACGGTGGGGGCCCAACTACATATTTTGCAAATGTAGGAACACTTGGAACCCCTTTGTTCTATAAAAATAATTTAGGCAGGTCATATTTCAAAATATAAAAGTAGACAATGCATGCGAACCGTATTACAAAATTAAGGTATTATGATATTTTGAAAGAAAATAGTTGGGAACAGAAAAATATTGTATCGATTTTCTGACAACTTCCAATATTCGTTAAGATAAATAGGTACATAATATCACGGACTAGTCTGTAGTACATATGGACACATGGTAGCTAACTGAGGTAAGAATACAGTGTCCTCACTCTAGAAAAAACAATGACAAAAACATAGATTGAAAAAATAATGGTGTATTATCATGGACGTAAAATCAAAGAACTGTAAACCGATGAATATCTTAAGGACGTGACAATTATCATTTATTATCTTCGTTATTATTACTTTAAAAATATTTAATAGTTTTGAATTATTTACAGATTTAAAATATAGACAAATTAGTAAGTGAAAAGTGATAGTATTACGCCGCCTAGATTACGCCTATACTAAACTGCATAATGCCGAGGTGCAATAAGCATTGTGTGCGTAGGAAACTTACGGCACTCGGTATGAACTCGGAAAGAACTTATTTTTTGTACTTTTTTACAAAAAAATTAATAAAATTAAAAAAAAATGTCTAAAAGGACTTAAATGTCTTCAATGAACTTTTTCGTTTTAAGAATGAAACGTTTTCCAAAATTATCTTATTCCAATTATTCCCAATTATCACCTGACGTGGTTTTGCACAAAAATATCGAGGGATATTTTCGTAAAAAAAAGTGCAAAAATTAAGTAGGCCTTTTTTGGTTTCGAACACGGTACTGCAAGTTTTTTAAGTATGCCATTGATTATTGTGCCACGGTATAATTAAAATTGAATTAATCAGAACAAACGGGTCTGAATGCACCCATATATTTTGTAAAATACGTGGTCCGATTATACCGCCTGTTTTTTTTGAAGACCTTCTGAAGACACGTAGATAACAATTATATTTATATAATATATAATAACATACTCAAGTTAATAACATGAGTATGTTGGGGTATTTAAAACCCGGCATTTTCTGTGTCATGATTTGAGAGAGGTTTGAAAGTTGTAACCACCATATAAAATGCATCTACAACCAATATTATACACGGATTTACTTGTAGGGATATACAAATGTATAAACTATTCTCCTCCCGCAACAACAGTGAAATTTAAATTTAAATTCAATCAAAATTTAATATCTTCAATCTACCTATAAATAAACTAAATTTGTTTATTTAGTTCTTTTGGGCTAAAGGGAGCCTCGAAAACTGTCCAAATATAACAGAAAATGTATTTTTACATAAAAGACACAGACAGTGCCATAGTTTTTATTTTTGGGGAAAATTTGATAAAAATAAACCATTATTGTTATTATTATTAAATATTACAAATATTATTTTAAGAATCATTTTCATAGGTTCACAAATTTGTAACTGAAAAAATGTCAATATCAAATACAAACTCAACATCGACAATAAACCTAAATCAGATATACGAATTAGATCATGGTCCACATAAGTAAATTGCCTAACTATTTCTTCGATGAAATATTTTTTTTTCAATAATCAACTTAAATTTATTGTACGAAATAGAATACCAGCTAATTCGATATTGAAAAACAAAGTAAAATTAAATTCACTAGATAAAAATACTATTCTAAAAGAAGCTACTATAAGGTGCCACGCACGTATACATGATATCCCCGTTGAACTTTCTGTTCAAAAAATTGTGTTTGGAAAAATTCATTTTAAGTCTCATTCAACTTACACAATCGAATTAAGGTATATTTCAAATAAATTAAATATGATAAAAATATTTATTAAAAAATAAAATAAACATTCATTTTTTTATCAAAGAGCTTCAAATTTGGCATCTGTCATTGATCGGAATACATCATATCCTGATTTTCAAATAAGGTTTGAATTTTGTTCTAACGATCCTTCTATTGAATTTAAGCCAAAGAACGGAAAATTACATTCAAAAGAAGTTAAGTTTTAAGTTAATATATAAATATATTTTTTACATGCAAATTGCAATAACTGTTTAGGTTAAAAAAATCATTGTTATATTTCGGCCCAAGCTTAACAACGAACTCGAAGATATATTTAAAGAGTGTCTCGAATCTGAGATAACTGATATAGAAACTGAACGTATTTTAGAAGACGAAAATTCATTCTTAAATAAAGTAAATTTAGTTTTTGTTAATTTTCAAATTATCCGTAACGTTTTAATCGATCTGATGAATTTTTAGGTATATGGTAATAGACCATTTCCGCGTGAACAAGTCAAAATATTTGAAGCCACTACAATATTTTATTCTTTGATGACGGATTTAACGAAAATAGTCTCAGCAGTTTGTTTTATACAGTTTGAAAATCGAAAATCAATTGAATATTTTGGGTAATTACCTTTTATTTTTAACTCGTAATCACCCTCTGTTCGCCCACCCTCTGTAGATCGTCTAATTATATGTATGCATTGTTATTTATTTTTTGGGTTTAAACAATTTTAGATTCTAAGTGTAGCGAAGAATGTATTGGTTTTACTAAGATTTTTATTTTTTTTATCCTGTGTACAAAACATTTTACCAAAAATCTTTTTTAGATATATGTATATACGCACGGCACCATTTTTAAAAGGGAATGTTGTCCAGAGAGGACTTTTGAGAGGTCATTTTTTGATTTTTCAAGCGCTCTTGTTAATATTTGTGAAACACCAGAATAAAACGTAAAAAAAAAAAAAAAAACGGGAAATTGACGAAAATAATGCTTTTATTATTTTTCAATTTTGTTATTTATTATAATTCAGTCAAAAATATTCATATAGGCTTAAAATTTGAACATAAAACATATATTTACCTTTTCTAGACGTGGTCAAATTTCCAAACATTTTAACCATTGTTTGAAATATTTATAGACATTATAATTTTGAGAGTTTTGTAAGTAATATTTATTTGGTAGGTACTCTGTCGTAAAATTGTAAGACTTGAACAGAAACGCTTGAAAATTTAACAGTAGGTTCATTATGAGTCATACTTTGAAGTCAAAATAAAATGTTTTAAAAAACATAGAGTTTAATGTAGTATTTTTTTTTATAAAGGAATTTTAACAAGTATCAAATTTTCTACGAAAATCGTTTGAATAAAAAATAATGTAGAACAAATCTAATTTTTCTTTCTAATTTTTTTTTTCGAAAATATGTATATTGCTGATTCAAGAACGAGGTAAAGTCAGAATTAAGCGGACTGGTTAAGTTTCGAAATCATAGCTTTTTGAAGTTCTGATATTATGTGTATATTATATTTAATATTAAACAATTCTACATTGTCCAAAAGGACAATATGCTATAAAAATAACATATTTGTCATGATCGAATGGTTATTTGTGCCTATTTCCATTGTAGAGTTCAAACCACTGTGTCCAAAAAAAGTTGTTTGCATTTTTTTCTCCCTTTTAATTAAACAGAAAAAAAAACAAATGCATTTACGATGTACCTAGAGACAAAATACCTCTCGATTTGTTGTCCAAACTTTTCTACCAGAAATCTTGCCCCGATGTATCAAGTGTACCTATTTTCTGAGAGAAAATTTTATCTCCATGGTAATTTAGGGAGGTCATTTTTTGATTTGTTAAATGGCTTTCATATTATATGGGAGAAACTAAGAACAAATGTCGGAAAAACGGAAATTGTACTAAATGTAAGTATTAGTAAAAATACTTTTTTCTCTATCAACAACTTTTCTACTAGCAATTTTACTTCGATTAACAATGATAGCACTTTTTTCTATAAGGAAATCTGACTGGGGAAGTATTCTAAGAGGTCCTAGCAAATGTGAAAAACTGAGAAAAACAATGGGAATACAGGAAAAACGGGAAAATCGGTACAATGTTAAACAAATATTAAAGAAAAAACATAATGCCTCTTTAATTAGGTACCTATTTTACCATAATATGAAATATATATTTTTGACAAAGAATCACTATCAACTGAACTGCGCTCAGAATCATTTTTTCGTGCAATGGTTTATCGTTGTTTACAGGTATACCCGTCTGAATTTCCTGTCTGTACCCTACTTTTCCAATTTCCTATCTACAACACTGGTTACGCCCATGTGCGAAGTATGTCCGTCCTTTTTATTATTAAAAATATTTGTAGGGATTTGAAATTTTGACAAAAACTTTTTATTTGTCTTTTATAGACTTGAAAAAATTTTCAAAAAATTGTGGCCATTTTTGAGTTTTCATAGACATTTTAATTTTGCGAGTTTTTTTAAGTAATATTATTTAAGTAGTACTTAATAGTAATTCGGTAGATAGTCTGATAAAATTGTTAGACTAAACTGAAATGCTTGACAATTAAACAGGAGGTTGATTATAAGTTGTACTTAGAGGTCAACAAGAAAAACTTGAGTTTAATGTAGTTTTCTTTTTCAATGGAATAGCTAATTCCAAGGGAGACAATTCCTCTTTATCATATTATGGATTCATAAATTCTCAATTATATCAATAAAATCATTAACCTTTCCCAGGTTTACAAAATCCATTAAACATGTATCAATACGACCCTTAAATATACTTCCACAAATAATCCCCAAATACTTCAATAATTAATCCAAATAATTCATCATAATGCAACATAAACTTATAGTAGGGCGGCGACTTTGTTTGCTCTAGCTATGTTCACTTTTCTTCCTCGACTGCTTCCTTGCTGTTGGGCTGTCACTGGGTTCTGTTGCACAATTTTGGGTTGTAATGCAGGTTTCCTTGAAGCTCGACGGTAGTCCTAATGGATTACTTTCCGTGACGTTGACTGCCATGGAAAAGAAAACTGTTATAATTATTATTATTATTATTATTACTATTATTTATACTATTCAAATTTTACAATAGAACACAATTAGTCCGCCAAATGAATATGGGTAAAATAATAATAATAGCGGGACAGCTAGTATATATATATATGTATGTATATATATTTTTATAAATTATCCACTAAATAAAACTTTAGGGAGTTAAATTTTTGATTTTCCCAGCTGTTTACATAATAAATTGGAAAAACATGGCAAAAACCGAGAAAAAAAACTGAAAAATAGATAAAATATTACACTAATATTTTTAAAGTTGTAGAGTTTATAAATTAATACAATAGAATACATGTATAATGAATAAAAAAATATTCAGTATTCCAATAAATAATAAAAATGGTATAGTCAACAAGTAAGGAAATATAAAATAAATTTTATATAAAAAATTTGAATCATACATTTAATAAAAATTAATTCAATCGTTTTGAAGTCACATTTACCTATTACAGCGGTTTTAACAAGATTTCCCCGGTCTTTCAAATTTTCTGGAAAAACTTTTAAGAAAATCGAAAATTTAACTCCCAAAAGTACGATCTCCAAAAAAACTTACTTTAAAAAAAGGGTCTTTATCATATAGAGCTTATATATAAGCTTTCTGGTAGAAAGTTTTCACAAAAAAAAAAAAATTAAAATATGAAACTTCTTTATAAAACCAGAGATGCTATAATCAATTTTTAGAATAATCACTTTTACACCTCATTTGAATTTGAAACTAATAAGCTATATACGATAATACATAAAATATAATGGATATAGTTAGAAAAACTTTTATATGTATACAATGTATGCATTGTACTTTCATTTTCAATGTCATTTTAAAATATGATTACCTATTGATTTTGCGTCGTTCTCAGATTCACAAGAAACGTATACCCTTAAAATACATATTTGTTGACATGCATAATGTTTTATGCTATTTTAGATTTGATACGGAATCATTGAAGCTAAGTATTATATGTCAGACAACAAAGCCGACAATTATCTTGTTTAGCGATCGAATAAATTTCGGTAAATGTACTGTGGGCGTCCGTCACAACGAATGGTTGTTGGTACGAAACATAAATACGGATCCGGTTCCATTAAAGATTTCTTTGCCGAACCCAGTCGGAACTTTCTTTTGTGCTTTCGTAATATACGACTATAACTATAACTCGAAATAATAATAATAATACAAATATGATGATAAATTATGTTTTTATATAGGCTGTAAACGGTGAACAGTTACTCCTCCCTGGCTATACCACGCCGATCAACATTTCCTTTATACCTGAAAGTGAAACTACAGTGAGTATAAATATATATATATGTCCACCTTACTTTTATTGTTTTATAGAGTTTTGGGTTTTATTTATATTTATATTATATTTTATGTTATATTTTATTTGAGTTTTATGGGTTTTTGTGATATCGAGACGAGTTAAAAGTAGAATATTCGAAAATTGAAATGTACTTCAAACTGCGGGAGTATTATAATATTTAATGCGTACACTTAAACAAATTGCAGTTATATTATTGATAAATCGCTGGGTTAGAATACAATTTTAAAACATTAACATTCCTATTTTTAGATTCTGAGTGGAACGAAGAGTATATGGTTTTTACAAAGATTTTAATGTTTTTTCTGTGGACAATTTTTCTGCCAGTGAACTTGCTTCGATTTTTACGTATAGTACCTTTTCTGGGAGGAAATCGGTGTGGGGAGGTCATTTTTCGATTTTCTATACAAATATGATAAACCAAAAAAAAAAACGGGCAAATATAAGAAATGTAAATTATTAGTTAAAATTATTACCCTTCTTTTTACCTATGGACAACTTTTCTACAAGCAATTTTGTTCCATTATATAATATTAGCAATGTTTATAAAAGGCAATTTGACTGGGGAAGTACTGTAAATAGATCATATTTCAATTTTCTCAAGAATTTCCCAGCAAATGTGAAAAACCAGGCAAAAATAGGGGAAAACTGGGAAAACATAAGAAAAACGGAAAAGTCGGTACATTAAATAAATAATATTAACGATAATATATAATAGCTATTTAATTATTTTACCATAATATGACAAATATATAATTGACAAAAAATGACTATCACTGTTTAGAATCATTTTTTCGTAAGTAGATGGTTTATTGTTTCTTACAGATATACATTAAATTACCTACAACAGTGGCTGCACCCGTCCCCCCATTATCTAAAAACATCTTTTTTAATTTTTATTTAACACCATCTAGTGTAATATTGAGGTTTATAATAATTTATGTTAAGAGACTTCTACACATAATTTTTATGTTAAATTATAATAATACTTAAAACAATTAAAAAAACAGTCAAAATAGTATTCTAGTCGGGAATATTTGGGTAACAAGAAATTGTTTCTAGTGTTTACTAGTTGTAAATTGAATACTCACTTAAATCTATAATTTTAGATTAAAATTAATTTTGTATTTTTATGTGGTTTTTGTTTTATGGCCGTAAGGAAAATGAAATCTTGGAAGTCATTTCAGGAACAATACGACTAAAGGTCAATTTGTCCGGTGGTGGCATCTGGCCATCATGTCAAATTACACCGGAAGATACTTTCAACATAATACTTACAACCCATGAACGCTCAAATAATACATTTATTTTCCGGGTAATTATTAGTCTAATGATTTTAGATTCTTAGTGGAGCGAGCGTATTGGTTTCATAAAAATGATTATTTTTATTTGTTTATTTTTTTTAATCTGTGAATATATTTTCTACCAGAAACATATTTCGATACTCAAGTGTAACATCTTTTATTTTTTGAACCATTGGACCTTCCAAGAGAATTTTATAATAAACGGGAAAAAACGTGGGAAAAATGGGAAAATTTATGAAATGTATTATTTTGTTGCGATTCGGTAACAAATATTCAGAGACTAAAAATTTTCAAAACCATTTTAGCCAAAATGATTTATAATTTAACAGAATGTTTATTATATGTCATATTTTATGCTCGAGGATGTAATGTTTATGATAGTTGTAAATATTACGGCCTTTTAAAACATGTATAATTGAACACCGCTCAGAACCGTTTTTGTTAGTAATAATTGCGTACAGATATACATTAAATAGAGGGGACATTTAATAATGTCAACCTTGTGGTGAGATAAGAATTCATAAATTTTATAATTGTTCTTTTTGATGCTGTTTGATAGGTATTAACCATAATATTCCAGTTAACTAGTTTGATTTCATTTGGCTTATTATTATTGCCATTTTTACCGGGGAAAAGATTGATTTCAATTGAGTTTATATTCTCAATAAATTGTAATGCTATTTTTTGTAGATTTTCATTTGAAAATTAACCAAGAATATATATTTTCATTAATATGAGTAGTGTGAATATAATTTATTTTTTTCTTTCATTAAATCTACATTTAAGGTCTATATATATAAAAATGTCATCGAATAGCTTACATACATTTCAATTTTTCAATATTAACTGTTTCTATTACTAAGCTACATGAAAAATAACTACCTCTAGCTAATGCTCTAAATATATTTGAAAATATAGAAAAAGCATTTGAAACTTTTCAAAGGCATATTGGAAAAGCTATTTTACCTAATTTTACCAAAATCGTTAACAAAAATATCGGCCTAAATTAAATCTACATTTGATGCCAAATTTGGGGTTTTTTGAATAAAGTTATTTGCATTTTTGTAATTTTTGTTGTTTCGGTCCCTAATTTATTATAATTAATAAACTTGTATCCATTTAAAGTGTATTTAATAAACTATTATCATTAGTATTTAAAGTAGAATAACTCGAATACTTTAAGTTTGATTACAATACATCAAAATTTTCAAAAAAATAATTTAAATCATAATTTGTATTAGAATGTATGTATTATAAATAATAGTGAACTTTTATACACAATTACTGTGTATCTAAATAAATTAATATATTTATACTTTAATTTATAATACTACGCAGGTGACCAATACCAGCGTGGTCGGCGTCCGGTTTAACGTAGAACTAGATTGGGCTAAAGAACGTTTGGAACCTATGCTGGATGACGAGGCGTCTGAGTTTGGGGAAATGTTACGGTCGTGGGTATCAGAAGACCAGCCACCATGGTTTGACGGACCTGGGTGGACTGGATTGCAGGAGAGCAATAACAACGTGTTTGACCTGGGAAACGGCGGTCGACCGTTGTGTTTCAGTCTGGATCCGGATGGGGTCCATCAAATCACAGTGACTTTCAATCCTCCACCGGTTACAAACCAGCAAACAGTACGGAGGTTAGACTATAGCCATGATGAGGAAGACTACAATAGTTCTTCCGAGATATTTTGGTGTCGAGTCTACGCAGCTATGCTCAACGTTCACGTCGGCCGCAAAGTACTCAGGCAGTTTTACGTTATCAGTTTCGTTGAAATGAAAACGACCATCCACAAAACTTCGTATACAACCCCGATTCCTATCAACTAGAACACACACTTATTCTTAATAATGCATAATTTAATACATCTTGTTTGTAATCTCGCCTATAAAATGAAAACTGTATTGTCTAACAAAGATTCCAAGACCATGTAAAACTATATAATTTCAATTTTATAAATTTACGAGTTTTGTAGAATGCCTCAGAATTTTCATTAATAATACACGTTAAATAATCCGCAAAATAATTTTATTCGGCCGCTTCTACGCTCACCCGACGGAATACGAGCTTTAATACAATTCAATATTCGTTCTCCTACACATCCGAGTTGGGCGTACATTAAGGTGGTTTGCGTTTATATTTAAAAAATAAAAGTTGACATATAATTCGAGGCACCTTTTTGTTACGTGCCCTTTAGATATAGCCTTTGGATAAAAAAATGAAAAAGTATTTTAAGTTTACAAAATAGTTTTTATTATTATTATGTAACAAACTTGATTAACAAATGATAAATATATTATGCGGTGACGTTGTGTTACCAGACCCGGGTCAAGACTAAGTTGTATTTATCTGATATAAGTACACTTTAAAAATGACTGAAAGGGTTGGCATTGAGGTGAAGATGCTTCTTCTTCTCGTATGTCAGTGGTGGTGTAGGTATACCATCCGTTATCCTGAGCTGACTAAATCTCTTTGTGGGGTTTTCCTGGTCTTATATGATTATCACCTTGGTTGGGGTCTACGTGGCTAGGGTTAAATTTAAGGGGGGGAGGTAAGGATTTATCCCCGGGTGCATACATTTAAAGGGCGTATTTTTTCAAGGTTTCATAAACTCTGACTAAATTGAAAGTAGAATTAAAAATATGTCATAAATATGTACAAAATATATTTGAAAAGAAATACAATTTTAACATTAATTATGATTCTGAATAATAGCTTGTGACGTCTCGTCCTCCCTATCCCTACCTATTCTAAGATCTCGGAGAGTCTCATGGAAAATTAACTTACCAAACGATGTTAGGGCGGCAGCCATCGTGAGGGAATTGAGCATCATTCGATTATTGTGAGTGAATAACTAACCTATGACTGAGACCGAGGTCGGAGTCATAGGGTTTTCATTCAAATAATATTAAATAAAAAATTTGAACTAAATGATAATAATCTTTTTATTTTATAATTGTAAATTCGGGAGTTAAAACCATGCAGGAAGACGTAAAACCTGAAAAGGAGATAAAGGTCTGCATTTTTATAATATAACGAAATAAAGAACAACCAAGTTTGTCTATGGGGTAATCAATATCGTTTTTATTAAATTAATGTAAATTAAATAAATAAAGAATTACGTTATTATTGAAGAAAGCTAGAGGCATATAACTTCAACGCAAAGAGAAATGGGGAAATACAAGGTAATGCAAAATATGGTTAGTGTTCACATTATCCGGGTAATGTGTACACTACCTGTACCTATTGGATAAAGTAATAATACTATTTATAAAACGTTTATTTCGTACATTACTCGGGTATTTTACACATTATCTATGACTGAGTGGGTAAATTACTTTGATAAAATGTGTAATAGATAGTAGGTGCCAAGTGGAACTGATTGATATGCAGTCGCAGGAGAGTTTCGGTTAATTATGGTATATCAGAATCACCTTACTAAATTCGTTTAACTAAAACCCTTAAAAATAAAGAGAGCAGAAGAAGTTACAAAACATCTTATCGAAATATTTTGTATTTTCGGAGCTCCGAAGATATTACAATCTGACTATGACCGCGAGTTTGTAAATGAAATAATAGAAGACTTAAAAGAAATGTGGGACACACTGAAAATCGTTCACGGAAAGCCATGCCACAGTCAGTCACAAGGGAGTGTCGAAAGAGCAAACCAAGACATACAAAATATGTTGATAACATGGATGAAAACAATGCGTTGTTCATGTTGTACCGACGTTATAGGTTTACGATTATAGTTATACGAATACTTTATCCACAGCACACCGGATAATATATTAAATGATTGGATACTATATATTTAAGGTGGATAATGTATATATTACACTGTTCAAATGGATAAGGTTCACATTACTCGGGTAATATGTACACTAATCGTTTTTGTACTTTACCCGTAACATATATATATAGTTATTAGGAATAAAAAATTTAAAAAATTAAAAAAAAAAAACTTAATTCAACTTTATTACAAGATAAACACGAGATAAAAGATAAACAATTTAATGTGATTTTTGACATTGCTTGTTCTTCACGAGAAAGTCTGGATTAAAACTTGTTAGTTTTATTCTTAGATCACTCTCAACATTTAGTTTATTCCTATATTTATTTTTTAAATAAATTAAAGTAGAAAAAGCACATTCACATAGATAAGTTGTCAAAAAATAGTTTCGTCGTGAGCGTCGTACCGATCACACGTACCATACTGTTACGCTCTGCCGTTATCTTCCTTTTTCTGATGGCAAGTTATTAGCGTTAATGTCGTGCAACAATTATTCATTTACGTACGACTGCTTCATTATAATATTTCCTATATTATAACCGTTCTATACTACGTTATTCGGACTTCCCGGCTTCGGTTGGCAGTTTCCTTAAATACAAATCTGACATATTTTATTTATGGCAAACAAACAAAACTTATCAACAAATCTTTCCAACTATAATGATGGACGCCATAATAAAATGATAAATAATATCTCATCCAAGGCCACCATAAGCAGCACACGCATACAGAGCACCTCAAGTGATTCAGTATTATCAACTTCAGATCTTCACAATAAAAAAAGTGACAACTTTAAAATGGTAATAGATAAATCTAAACGCCACCTATCCTCATCTAGCTCCTCCGAGAAAAAGGAAAACAAAAAATCCAAACAATTATTTATCTCTACTAACCGCTTCGCCCCACTTGCCGTAGACAATAACACAGAACTGAATATACAAAATTAAAATTCCAATTCAGAACAAGTTAAAAAAACTCCTCTTTCACCTCCAATAATAGTATGTGGTATTAAAGATTTCGTAAGTGTGAGAGCTGAACTAATAGACATAGTTGGTAACGAAAACTTATCAGTAAAAGCATCAAAAAACTCCTTAAAAATCCAACCCAGCAACCCCAATGCATATAGAGCAATTATACATTTTTTAAAAGACGCGGAGGCCGAGTTCCATACGTACCAAATGAAAGAAGACAAAGCACTCAGAATAGTCTTACGTAACCTTTACCCAACCACCACACCAATTGAAATCAAAACGGTTCTTGAAGTTTCGGGTTTCTCAGTATCCTCAGTCACTAACGTTCTTAGTAAAATCGCAAAAATCAAATTACCCCTTTTCTTCGTAGATCTTGAACCTGCTGGAATTAATAATAATATCTTCGAGTTAAACTATCTACTTAACAGGAAAATAAAAATAGAAGAACCATATAAACAACGTACCATAGTTCAATGTCAAAACTGCCAGGAGTATGGGCACTCAAAAGCATACTGCTCTTACCCATCCAGATGTGTCCGCTGTGCCTCCCAACATCTCACTTCCACTTGTACTAAACCTCGTGACACACCAGCTAAATGCGCATTATGCAATGATGATCATCCTGCTAACTATAGAGGATGCCAAATACATACAAATCTGTAAAAACTCCACCTACCAAACTCAAGAACCTAACAAATTCACATGACCAAAACACAAGCTAACCAACATATCCAAGCAACAGCACCCCAGGCCGAAATTCACCACCCATTTTCACAATAAAGGTCATATGCAAATGTTACAGCCAATCAAGAATCAACTAACACTCAATCTAACCAACTAGATACAGGTATAATGGTAACCAATTTTATTAACGACTTTAAAACACTCATTAATTCACTTCTCCCTCCTGACTACAGTCTTAAACAAACTTATACAACAAAATGACAAATAATGCACCCACCTCCAATTCACTATTAATTCTCTTATGGAATGCCAATGGCCTCCAAAATCACCTCAATGACCTACTTTTAACTCTACAAGAAAATGCATAGATATCGCTCTTATTTTTGAAACTAATTTAACAACTCGGAACAAAACTTACTTACCAGGCTACACCTTTCTTCATACAAACCATCCTGATGGCACTGCTTACGGCGGTGCAGCAATATTTATTAAATCTACAATTCAGTTTAACCCACTCCCCTCTTACTCGGAACCACACATTCAAGCAAACTCCATTCAAATTACACTTGATCACACACCTATTACAATATCCTCAACATATTGCCCCCCAAGGCATGTCATCTCCCCATTACAATTCGAACTTTTTTTCAACTCTTTAGGAAATAACTTCATCGTCGGTGGTGATCTTAATGCGAAGCAAATGCAATGGGGCTGTCATTCAAATTCACCCCGTGGTAACTCTCTTTATCAGATAATTAACAATAAAAAATATAGTATTCAATCCCCTCCTAATCCCACCTATTGGCTAACATCACCCAGAAAACGCCCCGACATCTTGGACATCTTTATCACTAAAATACCTAAAAGGCTAAATTGCTTAACTGAAAATCTCACAAACCCAATGCCTGACCACTCCCCAGTAATTAGGGTTGTAAATGCAGAACCCTTAATCAAATCAATCAGGCCTTCACTAATTAATGGCTTAATGAACTGGGATATGTTCCAATCAATCCTAATCAATCAAATTAATTTAAAAACTCGCCTAAAAACTGATACAGACATTGATGAGGCGGTAGATAATCTCACTACCTCTATTCAATCAGCAGCCTGGTGCTCTTGCTCACCAATTTCTACTTCCAGTCAAAATCAATATAAAATTCCCATTCATATAGGACAAATAATTGTTCAAAAAAGAAGGGCTCGTGCTAATTGGCAAAGAACCAGATATCCCTCCGATAAAAGAATTTTTAACAACCTTTGTACAAAGTTAAAAAGAGAAGCAGGTCATCAACGCACAGGCGATTTTATCAAATATACAGCCTCGCTATCTGAAAAAAAACGGCTCACTCTGGAAAGCTACTCACAAAATTCTCAAACACAAACTAACCATTTTTCCATTAAAAAAGCAGGATGGAAACTGGGCGATAAATGGTATTGACAAAGCCGAAACTTTCAGAAAACATCTCGCAGCTGTTTTTCAGCCGAACCATAATACTACTCCTCCTTCTGAAAACGAAATTAACTCATTTCTAAACAATCCTCTCCCTCTAACCTTATCACAAAAATATTTCTCTCCCTCAGAAATCAAAACTTTCATAAAAAATTCCCCTTTCGGCAAGTCACCAGGGTTTGACCTAATAACGGCTGAAGTAGCTCGTAAACTACCTCATAAAGCCATTATCCATCTCACTCATATCTACAACGCAATCCTAAGACTATCGCACTTCCCCACTCAATGGAAATTTTCTGTCATAATTTTGTTCCCTAAACCTAATAAACCTACAGATAACCCTGCCTCCTACCGCCCAATAAGCCTACTCCCTCTCTTCTCTAAACTCTTAGAAAAATTAATACTGAAACATATCTATCCAATCATCGTAGAAAATAACATAATTCCGAACTCTCAATTCGGATTCCGAAAAAAACATTCGACTATACACCAAATATATATATATATATGCTGATGCCATTCCATGCTCGCTAGAAAATAAACAATACACTTCCGCCGTATTCCTAGATGTCTCACAAGCATTTGACAAAGTCTGGCATCCTGGACTCTTATATAAACTTAAAAAATCTTACCTCCTTCATTCTACCTTCTCCTAAGTTCTTACTTAAAAGAACGCTTTTTTGCTGTTAGCTCGGGAGCTGAAATCTCTTACATCTCTCCAATTCTAGCTGGCGTACCACATGGTACAGTCTTATCCCCCACATTGTACAATATATACACCGCAGACTAGCCCATTCATCCCGATACTTCAGTTGCCGAATATGCTGACGACAAAGTTATCTACTCCACGCACATCGATTCTTTAACAGTTCGACATCACTATAGAATCATCTTGATCTACTTTCTCCCTGGTACTCCCAATGGCGCATTAAAATAAACGAAACAAAATCAATAAATACCACTTTCACCCTCAAACTTCAACAACCTCCTCCAGTTTTCTTAAATAATCAAATAATACCTCACTCGGACACGGTAAAGTACTTAGGACTATACTTTGATAAAAAACTTAACTGGGCCAAACACATACATATGACTAAAATATCCCTAAATCTGCGACTCTCCATTCTCCGTTGCATTATGTGCAAAACCTCAAATCTCAATCTGAAATCTAGAGTTAATTTATACAACCTCTTGCTAAAACCTATATGGACCTATGTAATTCAGCTCTGGGGAACTGCCAAAAAAACCAACACTAATAAAATACAAGTGGTTCAATCAAAAATACTTTGAATCATCACTAACGCTCCCCCGTACGTCTCCAACGATACTCTCCATACTGACCTATACATACCTCTTGTTAGAGAAGTTGCAAAATTACATTACATACAATTTCACAGAAAACTCCATAATCATCCCAACCCCCTTATCTCAGAGCTTTCTTCAAACTCTCTTCCGAACAATACAGCAAGGAGACTCAAACGAGCGTGGCCCAGAGATTTCCTAACAACGAACTAGTTGGTTAGCATTATTAAAAATAAATAATTAAATTAAATTTAATTATTTACAATTAAAACTCTCCCGCCGAAGTACTATCATTGGATGGCCTCTTCAATTCATGTATTTCATGTGATTAGTATTAGTTAATATCACTTATGCTTATTGTACCATGCGTCCAGATTGTATAATTACCTTATTAAAAATAAAAAAAAATAATAAAAAAAAGTTGTCAAAAAGCCCATCAAGTTTCTCAGTACAATTTTAGCGATTGCTGGATAGTCTTTCCGAACATTTAACCAAAATGGCACTAATTGTATACTTTTAAAATACGATTTTAAAGTCTGATCACATGACATTTCAATATCATTACAGTTCAACGAATCTCCTTCACTTGCTGATATTTTCAATTTTTTCAAGTAATCTTCTTCAAAGGGATTTCTGATCCATTAGATTTCCTTTTCAATTTTAGGGAAATAGTTTATAAAAACAGTGTAAAAATGATTTCAATTATGCCTTTTAAAAAATATTAATTTTTAATCAAGAAAAATTAAATATTAAAAATAACCTGAGGTTAGAAGCTAAAGATTTGAGGTGATCTTGTATAGTTGTAGCTTTATCAATATTAACTTAGTTAGTTTCAAGAAAATCATGTAGGACTGGAAATGCATCGAACGAAACTTGTTCTACTTTTAGAGCCCATCGTTAAAGCTTGAATATAATTGCATAAACTTTGTCTTGCACAAAAAACTTATGAACGTCTTTGCCTTGCAGAGTTAAATTAAGAACGTTGAGGGCAACAAAAATATCTGCCAAATACGCCAAATTACCTATTGACAGCCAACGAACTTCACAGTGAAGTAGAAGCTGTTTGTGTTCACTTCCCATTTTATTACACAAAACACCAAACAGTCTGGAGTTTTTAGGCTTTGCTTTAATAAAGTTGACGATTTTAACTGCACCATTAAGAGTATTTTTGAGACACTCGTCCAAACCTTTAACTGCAAGAGCCTCTCTATGTATGCTTCAATGTGTCCATTGAACTAAGGAAGCAACTGACCTAACCCTGGCAATTAATCCAGTATGAATTTCAGACATAGTACGTGTCCCGCGTTGTCAAACCTACACACTTAAACCAATCTACTTCGCTTTCTTTTATAAAGCTGTCAACAGATTTAAAAATTTCTTCGCCAGTTGTTTTTGTCGACAAAGACTGACAAAACAGCATTTCTTCTTCAATATTACCATTCAACTTAAAACGAACAAAAGCTAATAAATTAGCTTGGCCAGCAACGTCTGTACTTTCTTCCAGTTGCAGTGAAAAATATTCACTTTGTTTTAAAACAGTAATAATAGCTATTTTAACATTTTCCAGCATTTCATCAATTCTTCTTTTCACAGTTGTATTTGATAACGGAATTTCATTAATTTTGTTAAAAGCTATATGCTTATTATTTTTATTATTAATTTTGTTGGTACATTCTTCATCAAACAAAGTATTACTTATTATTTTTACTGCGGGAATAATAAATTCTTCTCCCACGGTGTGAGCTGACCCCTTTTTTGCGATTAACAAACTTGGGTACTGGATATGTTTTGTTTTGAAGATTTTCCATGACTGATTTAGTAATAGAAATATTTTTTTTTTCTTGATTTGAAAGAAATCAAGAGATTTTTCTACACATTCAGGATGTTTAGTTGATAAATGTCTTTCAAATTTTGAAAATTTCATACATTTGTTGAATAGCGTTTCGAAAAAAATCACATACTGTGGCATAGGCTCCCCCTTAGTACCAAAACTACAAACCCGATTTTTAAAAAGTCAGGGTTATACTTACGAAAATATATTTTAGTTACAACAATCTCACTACTAGTAGTTCCACTACTACTAGTTCCTTCATCACTTGACAGCTTTGTCTTACGACAATACCCAGTTCGAAACCAAGCATCCATATTTAAGTGTAGCATGGTTAATAGTATGTAATACTAGTAGTATATCACAACAGACACAACGACGCATAAACACACAACCACTGTCGCGAAATAACTAGTTTATTAATTTACGAAATCGAAAGACCTATTAAGTTTATCGTAACCCGCATGCCGTGCACAATAAATACGATAAAAATGGCAAATAACAGGCACCTATTAATAATCAACGAACTATATAAGATAAAACTACTTTCAAACGTTTGATATCGTATTGTTAATTGTACACTTATTGTACACTACAGTAAACATTTTTTTTTTTTTTTTTTAAATTCCCTTGGGCTTTATTATTTAAACGACCTGATGGTCTTTATCAATATGTTTAACAGGATATATCTTATATACTANATGATAATATATATACATTACACATTGATGAAGTCACACTTCCAATGAAGTGGCTCCTGTACTTAATTTAAACACTTATACTAAGTCGTATGGTTTCAGATGTCTAAGGCGTCTAATGTCTTGCCATTGGGTTGATATGGTCCTCTAATCTCCTCTCGTGTTTACGAGCAAACTTTTGGATTTCTTCTGCTATTGTAGGCAGCATCATATCGTGGTGAATGGCATCGTTTCTTTTAAACCGATAGGCTGCAGTGATGGTCCGAAGAGCGATGTTTTGGCAACGTTGTATTATATCAATGTTAGAATTACTAGCACAACCCCACAGTTGAATGCCATAGGTCCAAATTGGTTTTATAATAGTTACATATAGTAGACGTTTGTTTTCTATAGTTAACTCAGAGTGGGGTCCAACTAACCAATAGAGCTTTCACATTTTTTCTTTAATCTGTATTTTTTTCTGACGGACATGATGTTTCCAGCTTAAACGAGAGTCAAGATGCATTCCAAGATATTTTGCTGAAACTTTTTGTGGGATTAAAGTTTGATTCAGTAAAATTGGAATGTTTTCAGTTTTACGTAACGTATAGTTGACGTGTACCGATTTATCGCCATTTATCTTAATTTTCCAACGTCNTATAGTTAACTCAGAGTGGGGTCCAACTAACCAATAGAGCTTTCGTATTTTTTTCTTTAATCTGTATTTTTTTCTGGCGGACATGATGTTTCCAGTTTAAACGAGAGTCAAGATGCATTCCAAGATATTCTGCTGAATCTTTTTGTGGGATTAAAGTTTGATTCAGTAAAATTGGAATGTTTTCAGTTTTACGTAACGTATAGTTGACGTGTACCGATTTATCGCCATTTATCTTAATTTTCCAACGTCTCGTCCAGGCAAAAATGTTATTAATTGATGCTTGTAAGTTGTCAGTTGCTGTCAGCTGATTCTTACTTGTCGACAAAATTGCCGTATCATCGGCAAACATAGCTATCGTTATGGTGTCATTGTTATAATTGTTTGGTATATCAGCTGTCTAAAGTAGATAAAGAATAGGTCCTAAGACACTACCTTGTGGTACTCCAGCTGATATATTTTTCTATTCGGTTACTGCTTCTTCATGTATGACTCGGAATTGACGGACGGTTAAGTATGATTCAAGAAGTGCACACCAGGTATGTGGCAGTTGTTCACGTAGTTTGATGAGGAATCCTTTGTGCCAGACTTTGTCAAAAGCTTGAGCTACGTCAAGGAACACTCCACAGCAGTAATCTTTTTCTTCAAGGGCTTTACTTATCACGTTAGTAACGCGATGGACTTGATCGATTGTCGAATGTTTGTTACTGAATCCAAACTGATGGTCCGCTTCCTAAAGATAAATTTATTTAGGGGAGGGGGGGTGTCCTAGTGATCAAATAACTGTTATAAGAACTCCACCTCCATGTGCATGAATATTGTTTGCAGGACATCTGTCCTAACAAAAGATTTGGAAGCCTAGTAAAAAACATTGTCCATGTTTTTATAAAATAATGAAATCATGAAATTGTTCGTTTTCCTACGTTTTTTCCCACTTAAGTACCGAAATGACTTTTAAAAGTACAATCTTTTATACGTAAAAATCGGAACAAGTTTACTAAGAAAAAAAACGTGTCTATGGACTAAAATAAAAAAGAAGAAGAAATAAACAGCATTGTAAAACCAATAGCTCGTTCGCTATGCTCTCTGAATCTAAAAATTATAATGGAAAGTTTAGCTTAGTTTTTTGATAAATAACTGTTAAACTTAATTTTAGAGGGTCGGAAAAACAGGTTTAACTTAACAGACCAGTTCAACATTTTGTATAACTTTTTAATAAAATAACAGGTAACAAAGACGCGTTGTAAGGGGAATTTTTTAAACAAAACAATTTCAGATCATCTGCAAAAAGTAGTTTGATTGAACAATTTTTAAATCATTAATAAACAATAAAAATAGTATTGGTGCCAAATGTGAACCTCGAGGAACGCCGGACGGGACATTAAATGGACATAATTTGAAAATATTAGGTATATACTAATGTATTACTATTTGTTTCCTATGTGTTATTATGTAGGACGGGATCTAATCCAACTATCCAAGGTAAAATTGGGCAACAAATACCAATATTATGTAGTTATGATATGGAAACAGTGTGTTCTACTTTAACAAATGCTTTTGAAAAATCAGTATGTATGACATATACTTATAAACATAAGATGCAAAAGCAATTAATTCGAATAATGGATTCATAATGGTACCTTATCATCATAACTGTTGGGTATTTTAATCAGTTATTTCCACATAAACGACCATATTTTATTAATCGTAGTTTAATCTATCATAATATCGTGATACAATAATTATATAGTGATTTAATCGCTTAATCACGTATTATTTATTATTTGTATTAAATTATACAATATTACTCATGTCACGATAAAACACGAATATTATTGAAATAAATGCATTTTATTTTTTATCAAAGTAATTAATTCTGTTGCTCATTAATGCAAAACATTAAAAAAAAATATTTTTTTTTTCTATGACTAATAATCTAGATTAATTTACGTAGAATAATATACGTAAATTTGAAAAATTTGTTAAAATTATAATATCTATTATGTTTAAACGTTTAAATCAGTGTGAAAAAAAACATTTGAATATAAAAATATTATCAACAATTATTTAGCTAGCGACATCTATTGGTTAGTTTGTATTCTAACAGAGTAAATAGTATACGGTTCCGAGATTTCGTTGATGATTTTAATAATACTCTTATATTTTTAGATAGGTGTATCATTTTACTGTTTTATGATGTAAATATTACATAATAGTATATTAAATAGTAAATAGAATATTTACTATTTTTTGTAAATATGGTACGGGAACTTTAGTTTTATCCAAAAACGAAACCAAAATAGTCGCCAAATTCGTTTACTATATTTCTAAAAAGGGATAAGATAAGAGTAAAAAATAAAATGTGTGTAGGTTAGCACGGTGCGGCGTTAGAATAAGGCATTGTTAGGTATTTGTTGTAACCCAAACAAACAAAACAATTAAATATTTAGAAACTAAAACTAAAACTAAACTAAATATTATCTATATGATAATATTGATCAAGAGGAAGAGAATATACCTACTCATGTATAATATTTTGTATTCATAATATACGTAAATGTATAAAAAATACAAATATATATTATTTATTTAATATAAATGTATTAACTTAATATACATTGATACCTATACTTAAAAATTATAGATAGGAATAGGTTTACAAATAAACGTAATTATAATAACCTCTGTAATAGTATATAAATTATAACGCTATAATTATAATTTGTGCGATTATGCCAATCAAATTACCCAATAGGTCACCTATAACATCTCTAACAAAATAATACATAATGATAAATTAATCTTTGAACAACTATACGCACTTTTGAATGATATTTTATGCCAAAAGCAATTTGCTCGCTATGCCCTAAATATGAAAATGAATTTTTTGAAGTAGACAAATGTTTAACTATAACTATATAACTATTTAAATAATAGTTTTACGATAAATAAACAATAGTATCTTATAAACTTCTAAATGTACAACAGCGGGTGCAGTTAGGCTACACGTAGGCCATAAACATACAATGAAAACATGTGCACGATAGTATTGTTATTATTCAACTATTTTTGACTATAATATCCGAGATTATAATACATTTTCGTGGTAAAAAAATAACATAATTTTGTATAAATTTAGAAGAGAATTTTATAAAAAACGTCCTAGGATAATGGTGCAGCAATGTTATAGATAATTTAATGTATAACTGTAAGCAATAATAAACCATTGCTTGAAAAACGAAATAACGATTCTAAGCGGAGTTCAGTTGATAGTGATGCTTAGTAAACAATATTTACGTCATTTTTGAGTAAAATAATTAAATAGGCTTTATATATTTGCTTTAATAATATATGTTTAATATTGTACCGATTTTCCCATTTTTCCTGCGTTTTTCCAGTTTTTCCCATTTTTTATCACGGTTTTTCAAATTTGATGAGAAAACTCCTGAGAAAATCGAAAAATGACCTCCTGACGCCGATGTCTTTTCAGAAAAGTTGCTACAAGTAGAAATCCGAGCAAAATTGTTGGCAGAAAAGTTGCGCATAGATAAAAAAAAAAAAAATAAACATCTTTGTAAAACCATTAACTTCTTCGCTCTACTCAGAATCTAAAATATTATGCTAATCAAACGTAAAACAATACAGGTGAGAAGTTAAGAACGTAAGATAAAAAGGGGAATTTAATGTATACCTGTACGCAATAATTAATCAACAAAAACTATACTGAGTAGAGTTCGATTATAGGTTCATAGTTTGAAAGGTCGTAATTATAATATTTACGATTTTCGTCAAAATTTGATATTAAAATTGATATAAAAAAAAAAAACTACATAAAACTCAACATTTTCTTGTAAGCCACTAATTACAATTTATAATGTAATTTCTTGTTACATTTTCGAGCATTTCTGTTTGGTCTGACAATTTTATCAAAGGAATACCTACTGAATAAAAGTTACGTGAAAAACTCTCAAAATTATAATATTTATTAGCTCAGTTATAGTTAAGAAATGACTCAAATATTTTTAAAATTTTACTTCTTCTAGAAAAAGTAAATATAAGTTTTCTGTTTAAATTTCAAGTCTCTAAGAATATTTTTAATTGAATCGCAACAAAAAAACAAAATTGAAAATAATTAAAGCATTATTTTCGTAAATTTTTCCGTTCTTTCTTCGTTTTTTTTCAGTTTTGCTCAATATTATTAAAAAAAAATACACGGCAAATCAAAAAAACGACTTTCTAACTTACGAAACCAAATTAAAAATTCAATAAAAAATAGGTATTTGTCGTTTATATATTTGAGCTATATTTATGACTACACGTTAAAAGTAATAATATCGATCTCTTGTAATTTTTCGATTGGAGTAATAACACTAATAAAATATAATTTCATGTATATACATTTAAAATAATGAAATCGAACCTATAACTTAACCTAACGCCGCGCAGTGGTGCACTGTAAATATTTGCCGTTTTACATATAATTTTCTTGCACGAATTAGGTTTAACACCGTGTAGGTTGTATACATTTATGTTTGTTGCCACTGTCACACATACAAAAAATTAGTTCGGTGCCACTGTCACACATACAAAAAATTAGTTCGGTGCCACTGATTGTATGTATTAAATTTGTTATCTGAAAACAATTTTTTTTGAAAAAATATGTTTTCGGTGATGCACTACAATGATGATTATATATTATCATTATTTCAGTTATTAGTATACGATCGAATATGGACGATTACCTGTGTATGGTGTATTTTTCAAAAATGTATACGCGTTATGATTGACAAATACGATTTGGGTATTCGTATACTACCGTATACCCTCCAATACACCTTTGGATAATGATAATTTTTCCGTTTTCAAAATACGATAGCAAATTATTTAAACTATACTTTTAGAAGTTCTATTATTTCAATGAACTAATTAGGTACAATATAAAATATGTACCCAATATTATAAAACTTAAGTATTTTATCATTAAGCAGGAATTATAGTTTTTGAAAATTAAACTCGAGTTCTTGAACAACTGATTACATTGTTTTTATCAACAATACACCTGTAATGTTTTACCGGAATCGGAAAAGAAATTTGATCCTACTAACATTACTTGTGTCTAATAATACTACCTATATAATATTCGGCGATTTTTTTCTACATAGTTGACGATTATTGTATCGATCATCCTCGAACCCTTATAACATAATACGCCAATATGGTGTCGATATCCATCATGATGTTTACTTATTATCATATTACAGTACTTACCTACCTATACCTAATAGCTAATATTGTGGGGCAAGACCCGTTTGGAACAATTTTAAAGACCCGTTTGGTCTAAAAAATACTACTACTTTTATACAGTCCGTTTGGACCAGAATTTTCTTTATATTAGTTTAAATGAATGTTTTTTTAGCGAGCCTTTATATAATAGTATTTTATCTGTGTTGTCTTATCGTATATAAGACCCTGATACACAGATATCTATTATATAAAGACAATACATATAGGTATATAATTAGTATAACTGGATTTTTGGTATGTTTTAAAACTAAATTGATACACAGAAATTGTATGCAAACCTAAATAATTTACTTATTACCAAATTTAAAAATAAGTTTTCGTAGTTTAACTGAACGTTTATTTAGCAAGACTTTATAGAAATTTAAAAGTCAATACTTTGGACCAATGTCCAAACAAGTTGCAGTTTTATTAGTGGCCCAAACGTGCTTCGCCCATATTGATATGGATTAAATCGCAAGTCGGGTATTAAGTAAGGGTTATCATATATGGCTGCATCCGAGTTG